GCGCCAACTACGGTCTCGCACACCTCACCTTGACTCAAAAGCTTCTCGCTCCTTCTTTCGCGACTGCACCACACTCACGCCGCTTAGTCGGCCAGTTCCAGTCTCCCTGGCGGACCCCTCCGGGGGTCCAGTCCTTGCCCACTACTCCACGGTTCTGCCGTGTCCGGCCGTCCCGTCCGGCTCGCTGTCAGGTCTTTACCTCCCCTCGTTCTCTACGAACTTGGTGAGTGGAGCTGACCTCCAGGATCGGGAGGTTGACCAGTTCACTCCTGCGAGTCAGCGAGTGACTCACTGTACGTGTGCTAGGACGGGCCGGCACTTGGCCACGTTCACCCGTGCACCTGGCTCGAGTCTGTACACACTGACCACTGAGTCCCCTCAGGTAGCTGCGTCTGCGTCTACGTCTGGTCAGCTGGCGGCCCCCTGCGAGTGTCGCGCTTTGTCGCACGACACTCTCCTGTGGCACCACCGTCTTGGTCACCCCTCCTTGCCTCGCCTGCGTAGCATGCACTCTCGCTCCCTGGTCTCTGGTCTTCCCAGGTCTCTGCCTGCCCTCCCTCCCTCGCCTGCGCCGCCCTGCATTCCTTGCGTCGAGGGGCGGCAGCGCGCCGCTCCTCACTCCTCCTCGTTTCCTCCCACAGAGGCTCCACTGCAGACGCTCCACCTGGACGTGTGGGGCCCAGCCCGCGTCCAGGGACAGGGCCGCGAGCGGTACTTCCTGCTGGTTGTCGACGACTACACGCGTTACACCACGGTCTTCCCCTTGCAGAGCAAGGGGGACGTCCCTGATGTTTTGATCCCTTGGATCCGCGCTGTTCGTCTCCAGCTCCGCGAGCGGTTCCGGCGGGACTTTCTTGTCCTGCGTCTGCACTCTGACAGAGGTGGTGAGTTCTCCTCTGACCTCTTGGCAGCCTACTGTGCGGAGCACGGCATCACCCAGTCGTTCACGCTTCCGGCCTCTCCACAGCAGAATGGGGTTGCTGAGCGTCGCATTGGCTTAGTCATGGAGGTCGCTCGTACCTCCATGATCCATGCGGCTGCCCCCCATTTCCTGTGGCCGTTTGCGGTCCGGTACGCCGCGCATCAGCTCAACCTCTGGCCCCGTGCCTCCTTGCCGGAGACCTCGCCCACACTACTGTGGACGGGAAGGTTGGTGCTCGCGTCGCGTTCCGGTCTGGGGTGCTCGTGCCTTTGTCCGCGATACCACCGCGCCTCCGCCGCGCTGTTCCCTGTGTCTTCCTTGGCTTTGTCCCTGACGCGCCTGGTTGGCAGTTTTACCATCCCACCTCGCGCCGTGTCTTTGCGTCTCAGGACGTCACGTTCGACGAGTCGGTTCCCTTTTACCGTCTCTTCCCCTACCGCACTGCCCCGCTCCCCCCCCCGCCGCTCTTCCTCGCTCCAGGTGCTCCCCAGGTAGACCCCCTCCCCACTCCTGGTCCTGCTCCTTCAGGTGTTTCTCAGGTAGACCCTCCTCCCTTGACTGCGCCGGTTGAGGTCAATGGGACTCAGGTCCTACTGAGGGTGGTCCTTCTCGGGGTGCTACTTCTAGGGGTGCTGAGCCTGGGGGTGCGGAGCCTGGGGGTGCTGAGCCTGGGGGTGCTGAGCCTGAGGGTGCGGAGCTTGAGGGTGTGGAGCCTGGTGGTGCTGAGCCTGAGTGTGAGGGGTCTGGGGGTGCTGAGCTTGGCGGTACTGACGCTGGAGGTTCTGGAGCTACTGAGGGTGCTGGCGCTGGAGGTTCGGGAGCTGCTGGAGGGCCTAGTACTGGTGGCGCTGGAGCTGGAGGTTCTGGAGCTGCTGAGGGTGCTCGTGCTGGAGGTTCTGGAGCCGCTGGAGGTACTGGCGCTGAGGGTTCTGAGTCTGCTGTTGCGCGGTCTCCTTGGAGTAGCCGCCTTCGTCCACGTGTGCCTCTCACCCCACAGCAGCTGCAGGACTGGTACGGTCGCCGTCAGCGTCGCGCTGCTGGAGCTAGGAGTGGTGCTGGTCCTTTGTCTACTGGAGGTGCTGGAGTCGCTGGTTCTGGAGGTGCTCGTGCTGGAGACACTGAGGCTGGAGACCCTGGGACTGGAGGTGCTGGTTCTGGGGGTGCTGCTGCTAGAGACACTGAGGCTGGAGACCCTGGGACTGGAGGTGCTGGGTCTGGGGGTGCTGCTGCTAGAGACACAGAGGTTGGAGACCCTGGGACTGGGGGTGTCGGCTCTGGGACTGGAGCTTCTGGAGCTGCTGGAGGTACGGGAGCTGCTGGAGGTACTGGAGCTGCTGGAGGCACTGGAGCTGCTGGAGCTGCCGGTACTGGTGCAGCTGCGCCGACACGACTGTTCTTCGCTCCGCCGTCTCCGTCGTCTCTGCCGCCGCCTGACTCTGCTCTTCGTCAGGTTGTTACTCTCCCGTCGTCTACTGGTCTTCCGTTACAGACTGGCTCACCGCTACCTGCTCCCTCTCCTTACACTGAGCAGACAGGCAGTCCTGCTACGCGTCGTGAGCCTGCGTCGCGTCCTGTCTCGCCTGTTCGTTCTGGTCGTACCGTTCGTCGTGTCGCTCGTGCGCGTCAGCCGGCTGTCCCCAGCGCACACCTTGTTGTCCGTCGTCCTTCCTCTGCTCCGCAGCCTGTTCCTCTGCCGTCTCCCCCTGCGTCCTCTCTGCCTGCCGTTCCGGACCCTGAGTCTGACCGGTTTCGTACTGAGCACCCTACTGTCACGCGTCTCCTAGCCACTGTTGTCACTGACCCGTCGTTTGAGTCTACTGCTGCGTCTGCTCTTGTCGCTGAGCTTGTTGACTTTGCTGCTGCCTGTCGTCTAGACTACGCCGCCAGTCTTGTTGCTGAGTCTGAGTCTGTCTGTCCTCCGTCCGTCGGGGGTGAGTGTGCTCTTAGCACGGACGTCCTTGAGGACAGGCAGGAGGAGTTCCAGTGTCTTGCTGCTGCTTTACCTCATCTGAGGGAGACCCGGATGCACCAGACATCCCGACTCCGCGCTCTTACGCAGAGGCGATAGAGGGTCCCTACTCCTCTCAGTGGCAGGCAGCCATGGACGCAGAGATGGCTTCCTGGAAGTCTACAGGCACCTACGTCGACGAGGTTCCCCCACTTGGGGCGAACATCGTCAGTGGCATGTGGATTTTCAGGGTGAAGCGGCCGCCGGGTTCTCCGCCTGTCTTCAAGGCGCGTTACGTGGCTCGAGGCTTCAGTCAGCGAGAGGGAGTTGACTTATTCCAGACCTTCTCCCCCACCCCGAAGATGACCACTCTTCGGGTGCTGCTGCATGTTGCTGCTCACCGTGACTACGAGCTTCACTCTCTTGACTTCAGCACAGCTTTCTTGCAGGGCAGCCTGCACGAGGAGATCTGGCTGCGCCGCCCCCCGGGCTTCACTGGGTCGTTCCCTCCTGGCACCCAGTGGAGCCTCCGGCGGCCGGTCTACGGTCTCCGCCAGGCGCCACGTGAGTGGCACGACACACTGAGGACTACGCTTGCGGCTCTTGGGTTCGCTCCTTCGACTGCTAACCCGTCGCTGTTTCTGCGCACCGACACTTCACTGCCGCCGTTCTACATCCTCGTGTACGTCGACGACTTGGTTTTTGCCACTGCTGACACTGAGGCTCTCGCCCACGTGAAGTCGGAGCTGCAGAAGAGACACACGTGCACAAACTTGGGTGAGCTGCGCAGCTACCTTGGCTTGCAGATCACCCGGGACAGAGCACGCCGCACCATCACCTTGACTCAGTCACACATGGTGCAGCAGGTCCTTCAGCGCTTCGGCTTCACCTGGTCTTCAGCACAGGCCACTCCTCTGGCTACAGGTCACACGCTCTCAGCTCCACCTTCGGACGAGTCCGTAGAGCCGAGTGGTCCTTACCCAGAGCTAGTCGGCTGCCTCATGTACCTGATGACTTGCACTCGACCTGACCTCGCGTACCCTCTTGGTCTTCTGGCTCGCTACGTGGCTCCTGGTCGGCACCGACCTGAGCACATGGCTGCTGCTAAGAGGGTACTGCGCTACTTGTGCAGCACATCAGGCATGGGGCTAGTGCTTGGAGGGACGAGCCCAGTTGTCCTCACTGGACACTCAGACGCTTCTTGGGTTGACGACCTGGCTACTCAGCGGTCGTCACAGGGTTACACCTTCAGCCTTGGCTCTGGTTCAGTTTCGTGGCGTTCTACACGCTCGTCTTCAGTTCTCAGTTCCAGTTGTGAGGCTGAGATCTACGCCACAGCCATGGCTGCACAGGAGTTACGCTGGCTCACCTACCTGCTGACTGACTTGGGAGAGCAGCCTCATTCTCCTCCAGTGCTGTACGTCGACAACAAGGCCGCCATTGCCTTGTGTGAGGAGCAGAGACTGGAGCACAGAACGAAGCACATTGCTCTGCGTTACTTCCTGGCTCGAGAGTTGCAGCAGCGAGGCCAGCTTCGTCTTCGTCACGTGGCCACTCGGGCCAACACTGCTGATATATTCACCAAGGCACTTCCGTCTGGTGATCATCAGCGCTTTTGTACCCTGTTAGGCCTTGTGCCTACGTTTCCACACTTGCTGTAGTCTCTGCTTGTACTGTGATCTATATATATACATGCATGCCTGCTCTTGCTAGGTAGTCATCACTGTATTGTTTTTGCTTGTTGCATATATATCTCTGCATGTGGACTCGTCTTGTGGCCCTTTGCTTGTGCTCAGAATGTGTGGTGACGTTGAGATCCACCCTGAGCTTGCTTTGCTTCTCTTGACTGGTCGTTTGACCCCTTGTTCTCCCCCACTTTGCCTATGGGGATGTGTCAAACATATATGCTGCATATTGTCTAGGCTGTAGTGGGGTAGCCCATATGGGGTACAGCCCAATTAGGGTTTACTACTTGTACTCCTGCATGCTGCTAGTTCATCCATTCCTGCTGCTAGATTCTGACACCTCTTTCCATGCTGCTTCTGCCCTTCCCACTCCCTCCAGCACCCTCACGCCATGACAACAAGGTCAGCCACAACAGAGTGGCACCGCGCACACAGCGTGGGTGCTCTACAAACGACCCAACCGCCTGCGAGAAATTCCAGCAGCGCTCGCACTTGCCGCCCGCAGCCCTCCCACCGCCACCAGCACACGTGCAGCCTCCCCGTTCCACTGCACCTCCACGTCAGATGAGAATTCCAGGCCGAGCGCAGCGAGATCTGACTCCGAGGGAAGCACGTGGACCTGGGAGGAGAGGAAGACCGTCCGAAGGCTGTCCACTGCTTGCAGCTCCTTCAGCCCCTTCTGCCCGCTGCCTTCCCTCTCCTCCTCTGCTGCTGCTGTGTTGCCAGTGGCTGCTGCGGTGCTGGAAGCGGGGGAGTCGGAGAGGGCTAGCAGCGCGAGGAGAGGGAGGGGCTGGGCGTGTGCAGGTAACTGCGGCGTCGAGCGTTGTTGCGCCTATCAGCTTGCCCATACGTGCTCGCTCCATCACCTTGTTCACCTCCGAACGCAGCTGGGAGATGGGGGGGAAGGATAAGGGCAGGCAAGGCAGCAAAGAGAGAGGGTTGATGTGAAAAAAGGTCCAACACTTGCCAACATCTGTTGGCCCTGATGAGCTTGCCCACGCGCACCCTCTCCATCACCTCCGAACGCAGCTTATGAGAGAGGACAGATGACAGGACAGGAGGGTTTGATTCAGTGAGAAGCAGCGAGCTTACCAACCTCACTGAGTGAGTGTGCCTCAAACTCAACAGAGCGTGACTGTGCTTCAACTTCACAGTCAAGTAAAGTAAATTACCAGCCTGCAGTACTTACCTCAATGAGCGTGGCCCACGTCGCCAGCTCAGCATCCCCGAACGACAGCCAATCAGCTTCCGGCTTGGGCCATGGCATTTGGAAGATGGAGGGAACGGGCCGGGGGAAGTTGCTGGGAAGGTTCTGCCAGGCGTCCTCAGCCATGTGGGGCAGCACAGGGCCGATGGCTGCCAGGAAGGCCGTGAGATGGTGTGCTAGGACTGTCTGACACGCCCTCCTTGTGAGGTGGTCTTGGCCTCTGGTGGGGAGAAGATGGGAGAGCATGTGCGTGCGTGGGGGGTACAGGGAGACGAAGAAGGAGAGCAGGTTAGCCTGATGATGGGCCGCCAGGAAGGCCGTGAGGTGATGTGCTAGCACTGCCCTCCTTGTGAGGTAAGGTAGTCTTGACCTCTGGGTCAAAGGGGGAGAGTGTGCCTGGGGAAGAGAGGGTGGGTTGGTGGCAGCGCACTCTCAAGAAACTAGTGGGGTAAACATTGCCATGGGTGCACTCAGAGCACTCTCCCTCAGTTCCTCCCTCAGTTCCTTCCTCCCTCAGTTCCTCCCTCAGTTCCTCCCTCAGTTCCTTCCTCCCTCAGTTCCTCCCTCAGTTCCTCCCTCAGTTCCTTCCTCCCTCAGTTCCTCCCTCAGTTCCTCCCTCAGTTCCTTCCTCCCTCAGTTCCTTCCTCAGTTCCTCCCTCAGATCCTCCCTCAGTTCCTCCCTCCCTCAGTTCCTCCCTCAGTTCCTCCCTCAGTCCCTCCCTCAGTTCCTCCCTCAGTTCCTCCCTCAGTTCCTCCCTCAGTTCCTCTCTCAGCTCCTTCCTCCCTCAGTTCCTCCCTGAGTTCCTCCCTCAGTTCCTCCCTTGGTTCCTCCCTCAGTTCCTCCCTCAGTTCCTCCCTCAGTTCCTCCCTCAGTTCCTCCCTCAGTTCCTCCCTCAGTCCCTCCCTCAGTTCCTCCCTCAGTTCCTCCCTCAGTTCCTCCCTCAGTTCCTCCCTCAGTTACTCTCTCAGTTCCTCCCTCAGTCCCTCCCTCAGTTCCTCCCTCAGTTCCTCCCTCAGTTCCTCCCTCAGTTCCTCCCTCAGTCCCTCCCTCAGTTCCTCCCTCAGTTCCTCCCTCAGTTCCTCCCTCAGTTCCTTCCTCCCTCAGTTCCTCCCTCAGTTCCTCCCTCAGTTCCTCCCTCAGTTCCTCCCTCAGTTCCTCCCTCAGTTCCTCCCTCAGTCCCTCCCTCAGTTCCTCCCTCAGTTCCTCCCTCAGTTCCTCCCTCAGTTCCTCCCTCAGTTCCTCCCTCAGTTCCTCCCTCAGTCCCTCCCTCAGTTCCTCCCTCAGTTCCTCCCTCAGTTCCTCCCTCAGTCCCTCCCTCAGTTCCTCCCTCAGTTCCTTCCTCCCTCAGTTCCTCCCTCAGTTCCTCCCTCAGTTCCTTCCTCCCTCAGTTACTTCCTCAGTTCCTCCCTCAGTTCCTCCCTCAGTTCCTCCCTCAGTTCCTCCCTCAGTTCCTCCCTCAGTCCCTCCCTCAGTTCCTCCCTCAGTTCCTCCCTCAGTCCCTCCCTCAGTTCCTCCCTCAGTTCCTCCCTCAGTTCCTCCCTCAGTCCCTCCCTCAGTTCCTCCCTCAGTTCCTCCCTCAGTTCCTCCCTCAGTCCCTCCCTCAGTTCCTCCCTGAGTTCCTCTCTCAGCTCCTTCCTCCCTCAGTTCCTCCCTCAGTTCCTCCCTCAGTTCCTCCCTCAGTTCCTCCCTCAGTTCCTCCCACAGTTCCCCCCTCAATTCCTCCCTCCATTCCTCCCTCAGTCCCTCCCTCTGTTTCTCCCTCAGTTCCTTCCTCCCTCAGTTCCTTCCTGTCTCAGTTCCTTCCTCCCTCAGTTCCTCCCTCAGTTCCTCCCTCAGTTCCTCCCTCAGTCCCTCCCTCAGTCCCTCCCTCAGTTCCTCCCTCAGTTCCTTCCTCCCTCAGTTCCTCCCTCAGTTCCTCCCTCAGTTCCTCCCTCAGTTCCTCCCTCAGTTCCTCCCTCAGTTCCTCCCTCAGTTCCTCCCTCAGTTCCTCCCTCAGTTCCTCCCTCAGTTCCTTCCTCCCTCAGTTCCTCCCTCAGTTCCTCCCTCAGTTCCTCCCTCAGTTCCTCCCTCAGTTCCTCCCTCAGTTCCTCCCTCAGTTCCTCCCTCAGTTCCTCCCTCAGTTCCTTCCTCCCTCAGTTCCTCCCTCCCTCAGTTCCTCCCTCAATTCCTCCCTCCATTCCTCCCTCAGTCCCTCCCTCTGTTTCTCCCTCAGTTCCTCCCTCAGTTCCTTCCTCCCTCAGTTCCTCCCTCAGTTCCTTCCTCCCTCAGTTCCTCCCTCAGTTCCTCCCTCAGTCCCTCCCTCAGTCCCTCCCTCAGTTCCTCCCTCAGTTCCTCCCTCAGTTCCTCCCTCAGTTCCTCCCTCAGTTCCTCCCTCAGTTCCTTCCTCCCTCAGTTCCTCCCTCAGTTCCTCCCTCAGTTCCTCCCTCAGTTCCTCCCTCAGTTCCTCCCTCAGTTCCTCCCTCAGTTCCTTCCTCCCTCAGTTCCTCCCTCAGTTCCTCCCTCAGTCCCTCCCTCAGTCCCTCCCTCAGTTCCTCCCTCAGTTCCTCCCTCAGTTCCTCCCTCAGTTCCTCCCTCAGTTCCTCCCTCAGTTCCTTCCTCCCTCAGTTCCTCCCTCAGTTCCTCCCTCAGTTCCTCCCTCAGTTCCTCCCTCAGTTCCTTCCTCCCTCAGTTCCTCCCTCAGTTCCTCCCTCAGTTCCTCCCTCAGTTCCTCCCTCAGTTCCTCCCTCAGTTCCTCCCTCAGTTCCTCCCTCAGTTCCTCCCTCAGTTCCTTCCTCCCTCAGTTCCTTCCTCCCTCAGTTCCTCCCTCAGTCCCTCCCTCAGTTCCTCCCTCAGTTCCTCCCTCAGTTCCTCCCTCAGTTCCTTCCTCCCTCAGTTCCTCCCTCAGTTCCTTCCTCCCTCAGTTCCTCCCTCAGTTCCTCCCTCAGTTCCTCCCTCAGTTCCTCCCTCAGTTCCTTCCTCCCTCAGTTCCTCCCTCAGTTCCTCCCTCAGTCCCTCCCTCAGTCCCTCCCTCAGTTCCTCCCTCAGTTCCTCCCTCAGTTCCTCCCTCAGTTCCTCCCTCAGTTCCTCCCTCAGTTCCTTCCTCCCTCAGTTCCTCCCTCAGTTCCTCCCTCAGTTCCTCCCTCAGTTCCTCCCTCAGTTCCTTCCTCCCTCAGTTCCTCCCTCAGTTCCTCCCTCAGTTCCTCCCTCAGTTCCTCCCTCAGTTCCTCCCTCAGTTCCTCCCTCAGTTCCTCCCTCAGTTCCTCCCTCAGTTCCTTCCTCCCTCAGTTCCTTCCTCCCTCAGTTCCTCCCTCAGTCCCTCCCTCAGTTCCTCCCTCAGTTCCTCCCTCAGTTCCTCCCTCAGTTCCTTCCTCCCTCAGTTCCTTCCTCCCTCAGTTCCTCCCTCAGTCCCTCCCTCAGTTCCTCCCTCAGTTCCTCCCTCAGTTCCTCCCTCAGTCCCTCCCTCAGTTCCTCCCTCCATTCCTCCCTCAGTCCCTCCCTCTGTTTCTCCCTCAGTTCCTCCCTCAGTTCCTTCCTCCCTCAGTTCCTCCCTCAGTTCCTTCCTCCCTCAGTTCCTCCCTCAGTTCCTCCCTCAGTCCCTCCCTCAGTCCCTCCCTCAGTTCCTCCCTCAGTTCCTCCCTCAGTTCCTCCCTCAGTTCCTCCCTCAGTTCCTCCCTCAGTTCCTTCCTCCCTCAGTTCCTCCCTCAGTTCCTCCCTCAGTTCCTCCCTCAGTTCCTCCCTCAGTTCCTTCCTCCCTCAGTTCCTCCCTCAGTTCCTCCCTCAGTTCCTCCCTCAGTTCCTCCCACAGTTCCTTCCACAGTTCCTCCCTCAGTTCCTCCCTCAGTTCCTCCCTCAGTTCCTTCCTCCCTCAGTTCCTTCCTCCCTCAGTTCCTCCCTCAGTCCCTCCCTCAGTCCCTCCCTCAGTTCCTCCCTCAGTTCCTCCCTCAGTCCCTCCCTCAGTTCCTCCCTCAGTTCCTCCCTCAGTTCCTCCCTCAGTCCCTCCCTCAGTTCCTCCCTCAGTTCCTCCCTCAGTTCCTCCCTCAGTCCCTCCCTCAGTTCCTCCCTCAGTTCCTCCCTCAGTTCCTCCCTCAGTTCCCTCCCCTCAGTTCCTCCTCAGTTTCTTCCTCCCTCTTTTCCTCCCAGTTCCTCCTCAGTTTCTTCCTCCCTCTTTTCCTCCCTCAGTTCCCCTCCCTCCCAGTTCCTTCCTCCTCATTCCCCCCTCAGTTCCTCCCTCAGTTCCTTCCTCCCTCAGTTCCTCCCTCAGTTCCTCCCTCAGTTCCTCTCTCAGTTCCTCTCTCTCTCCTCTCTCAGTTAGCACCCACCCAGGCAGCACCCACCCCACATAGAGCCTGTCCTTGCAGACATCGAAATAGAAGTTGGAGAGGTCCACCACTGCGAAGCGCTGTATGAGCTGCAGAGCAGGCACAGGGGTGGGGAATGAGGGCAGAGAGTGGGGAATGAGGGCAGAGAGTGGGGAATGAGGGCAGAGAGTGCAGAAAAGGCAGAGTGGGCAGAGAAGGTAGAGAGGGTAGGTTTGAAGTTGGAGAGATCCACCACTGCAAAGCGCTGGATGAGCTGCAGAGCAGGCACAGGGGTGGCTGATGAGGGCAGAGCAAAGGGGTGGGTGATGAGGGCAGAGCAAAGGGGTGGGTGATGAGGGCAGAGCAAAGGGGTGGGTGATGAGGGCAGAGAGTGGGTAATGAGGGCAGAGCGGAGGACGGGTGTTGGAAATTTTTGGCACTGTAAAGCTGCCGAGGACGGGGAAGGAGGGGAAAATTTGGGGCTTGGTGTGGTGGAGAGGAGAGGAGGCATAGTAGAAGGACGGAATGGATAGCGTAAGGAAAGGCAGGAAAGTGTGTGTGTGTGTGAGAGTGTGTGTGTGTGGGGGGGGGGGGAGGGTTTGTGTGGATGTGTGTGTGTGTATGTGTGTCTTTCTTTTTCTTTACTAATAATAATAATAATGAGCAAGTTACCTGGTAGAAGCGGTAGAACTGGAAATCATCGTAGCTCTGCTGCACGTCCTGCATGACGTCTGCCAGGCGACGCAGTGCATAGCGGTCCAGGGCGGGCAGGTTGGCATAGGGGACTGCCTCGGAGGGCTGGTAGGGGGGATGGAAGGGATGCGGTAGGGAAGTTAAGGGCATGAGAAAGAGGTAGCTCTGCTCTGCTGCACGTCCTGCATCACGTCTGCCAGGGCGACGCAGTGCATAGCGGTCCAGGGCGGGCAAACTAGCGTAGGGGACCGCCTCGGAGGGCTGGTGGGACGGGCGGGGAGGGAGAGGCGGGGCAGGGAAGGCAGGGGCATTGAGGAAGAGGCAGCTCTGCTCTGCTGCACGTGCAGCATGATGCTGCACGACGCAGTGCATAGCGGTCCAGAGCGGGTAGGCTGGCATAGGGGACTGGGCAGGGCAGTCACAGAATAACAGGATGAAGTGGTGGTGACGAGATTAGAAGAATGGCAAAAAAGATTGCAGTGCACAGCAGTCCGATTGGAAGAGAGTGCGGGGAAAAAAGTGCGCCCGATTGCAGTGCACAGCAGTTTTAAAAAAAAAAAAAAAAAAAAAAAAAAAAAAAAAAAAAAAAAAAAAAAAAAAAAAAAAAAGTCAAACCAGTCAATTCGAGCCAAACCAGAGCTCCCTGTCAGCTGAGCAGGAACCTCGGAGTGCCTCGTAGCTTGTGGTACACATCGCTCATTGCTTCACGATAGATGGCCCGATCACCACGTCTCCACTGTAGTCCACCAAAGTCAACCCAAGTCAACCCAGTACACCCAGCGAGCTCACCTGGTAGTCATGCAGGTTACCGAGCAGGAACCGCAGAGTGCCTCTGAGCTTGCGGTAGACATCGCTCATCTGCTTCACGATGGACGGCCCGATCACCACGTCGCCACTGTAGTGCACTGACGCTACCCCAAGTCAAACCAGTCAACGCAAGTCGACCCAGTGCACCCAGCGATCTCACCTCATAATCATGCAGGTTACCAAGCAGGAACCAAGGGTGCCTCTGAGCTTGCGGTACACGTCGCTCATCTGCTTCACAATGGACGGCCCGATCACCACGTCTAGTCCAACTAAGTCAACCCAAGTCAGCCCAGTGCACCGAGTGAGCTCACCTCATAATCATGCAGGTTGCCAAGCAGGAACCTCAGGGTGCCTCGTAGCTTGCGGTACACATCGCTCATCTGCTTCACGATAGATGGCCCGATCACCACGTCGCCACTGTAGTCCACCGATGCCACCCACAGCCTTAGCACGTCTGCACCATATGCCGGCTCGGTCTGGAAAGGTTCTCAGCACAGTGGGAATGGGAAATAGTGAGAGCAGAGCATGGGGTATGGCATGGACGGCCAATCACCACGTCGCCACTGTAGTCCACCGATGCCACCCACAGCCGCAACACGTCGGCCCCGTACGCTGGCTCGGTCTGTAAAGGCGAGAGCAGTGTGGGAATGGGATACAGTGAGAGCAGTGTGGGGTGGGACATGGGCACAGAGGGTCCAATTACCACGTCGCCACTGTAGTCCACCGAGGCCACCCACAGCCACAGCACATCCGCCGAGTATGTTGGCTCGGTCTGTGAGGAGCATGGGAATGGCAAGAGGTGAGAGCAGTGCAGTGCATGACATCGCATGACATGGGCTCACGCCCGAAGCATGTTTTTGCAGCAGCAAAGATTCAGGCACACGCCCTCACCTTCTGGTTCTTGCCGCCGTTGATAACAGTCAGAGGGTCCACGGCATTCCCCACGGACTTGCTCATCTTCATGCCGCGCTCGTCCAGCACAAACCCGTGCGTCAGCACCGCCCGGTACCAGAGAGACTCATCTTGTCACAGCAGCACACCCACACGGACAGACACTCACCTTTTGGTTCTTCCCCCCGTTGATCACAGTGAGAGGGTCCACCACATTGCCGACCGATTTGCTCATCTTCATGCCGCGCTCGTCCAGCACAAACCCGTGTGTCAGCACGGCCTTATACGGCGCCGTGCCGGCAGCCGCCACGCCTGTCAGCAGCGAGCTCTGGAACCACCCCCTGTGCTGGTCGCTGCCCTCCAGGTACAGATCCGCTGGGAAGTTGAGCTCTGCCCTGCTGCTGGTAGTGCTTGCTGCACTGGAGCCAGAGCTGTTGTGTGAAGCGGCTCCGTTGGTATCAGAACCAGGGGAGGCAGAAGGCGAGGCAGAAGCGGAAGAGGAAGCGGAAGAGGAAGAGGAAGCAGAGGCAGAGGAGGGGGCGAGGACGGAGGCCCAGGAGGAGCCGGAGTCGAACCAGACGTCCATGGTGTCAGAGCCCTTGCGGTACTGCGCTGCCTGGTCCCGCAGCGATGGGGGCAGCAGGTCCGCTACGTCCAACTCCCACCACGCGTCACTGCCCTTCTCTGTGGGTTGGAGGGGAGTGTGAGAGTAGGGGAAAGGGCGGAAAGGCAAGGGAGGGGTGTTGAGTGGAAGACGAAGCAGAGGTGGAGGGGGGAGAGGAAGCAGAGGCAGAGGGGGAGGGGGAGGGGGAGGAGCCGGAGTCGAACCAGACGTCCATGGTGTCGGAGCCCTTGCGGTACTGCGCTGCCTGGTCTCGCAGCGATGGGGCAGCAGGTCTGCTACGTCCATCTCCCACCACGCGTCACTGCCCTTCTCTGTGGGTAAGGAAAAGAGGGGGAGGGAGGGTTGAATGAGCCTATGAGGCCCAGAAAGTGGCAGGCTGGCGGACAGGGCAAGGCTGAAGCAGCGAGGGGGGCAGCAGGTCTGCCACGTCCATCTCCCACCACGCGTCACTGCCCTTCTCTGTGGGTTAAGAAAAAAGGGGGAGGGAGGGGGAATGGGGGGTGGAGGGGGAAAGAGGGGGAAAGGGGGGGTCTCAGAAGTCTGGTTGGAGGCGGGATCCGATATCAATCTTCAAGAGCTGGTGGATCGTGTGCTGGCTGTGTGTGTCTCTTCGCAAGCTTCATGCATCAAGCGTGTGAAGAGACACACACAGCCAGCACACGATCCACCAGCTCTTGAAGATTGAAATTGGATCCCGCCTCCATGCACGCTTGACACTGGCACATTTTCTTCGACTCCAACACCTGCCACACCACGCCTGTTGCACACGGCTCACCAGCTCACCTGCTACAATCGCCTGCACGTGAGCGATAGTCTCTTGAGTGAGAAGTGGCTCGCCCGTCTCAACGTGGTAGAAGGCCGGGATGGGCACACCCCAACTCACCCGTATGTGCTTGTCAATGCACCTCAGACTTTCCCACTCATGTGCACCCACCAGCTCACCTGCCACAATGGCCTGCACGTGGCCTCACGTACCTGCTACAATGGCTTGAACATGAGCGATGGTCTCCTGGGTGAGAAGTGGCTCGCCCGTCTCAATGTGGTAGAAGGCGGGGATGGGCACACCCCAGGACCGCTGCCGTGAGATGCACCAGTCGGACCGCCCCTCCACCATGGCTGTTATGCGCTTCTCGCCCTGAGGGGTGGAGAGGGGTGGGGGTGGGTTGGAATGGGATGCGAGAAGCAGTGCCTCGTGATTGATTGAAGCACAGAGACAAGCAAACCAAACCACTGGTCCGTGGAACATAGTGACTTCACGAGTGAATGAAGCGATTGCCTTGGTGGAATGGAAAACGCGTGACTTGCCTGTGGAGGGAACCACTGCACGCCTCGGATGGCTTCCAGTGCCTCCTCCTTAAAGCCATTGACGGATGCAAACCACTGGTCCGTGGCTCGGAAGATGGTGGGCTCTTTCAACAAGTAAAAATGACTTGCCTGGGGAGGGAACCACTGCACTCCTCGGATGGCCTCTAGAGCCTCCTCCTTGAAGCCGTTCACCGAGGCAAACCACTGGTCTGTGGCTCGGAAGATGGTGGGCTGCTTGCTGCGCCAGTCATACGGGTACTTGTGCTCTGATGGGGGAAGAGGGAGAAGGGACAAAAGGACGTGTGTTTTTCACACACGCAAGTCACATCCCACACGTGAGGGCAAACCACTAGTCCGTGGCTCGGAAGATGGTGGGCTGCTTGCTGCGCCAGTCATAATACGGGTACTTGTGCTCTGATGGAGGAAGGGGAGAGGAGGATGGGGCAACGGAACGAAGAAAAGAGACGAGGAAGTGACAATGTAAGCTTTGAAAACGCAAGAAAGAATGTGCACACGCACTGCTCTCACTCACACCTACTGCTCTCTCACTCCAGCAGCAGCGATCTGCTCCCATTAAGGGCCGCCATCACCGCCGCGTTCCCCTCCCTCCCCCAGCACGCTCAGCCCCTCAAGCTCACTCAGCAAACACTCCCTCCCAACCCAACCCCCCAAGCAGGCACTCACAGCCGCGTTCCCCTCCCCCAGCATGCTCAGCCCCTCGAACTGCCCCACACCCCTAAAGCCCACTCCCTCCCAACCCCCCATCCCACTCACCATATGCTTCTTCCAGCAGCAGCGATCCATTCCCATTTAGGGCAGCCATCACCGTCGCATTCCCCTCGCCCAACACGCTCAGCCCCTCAAACTCGCCTCCCTTGGCCTCGGCAGTAAACCACGGGGGAGATTAACTCTAGACCGTACTTAAGCCCCGTTGCATAGTCCTCCTGCCCGTGCTGTGCCCAGCACGCTCATTCACACTCAGTGAGCACAACCCTCCCTCCCACCCCCAGAACGGGTTGTGGGTGCACAACTCACCATACGCCTCTTCCAGCAGCAACGCTCCATTTCCGTTGAGTGCAGTCATCACAGCCGCGTTGCCTTCCCCCAGCACGCTCAACCCCTCAAATTCCCCGCCTTTAGCTTCTGCAGTAAACCTCCCCTCATCATCCACGGGGGAGATTAACTCTAGACCGTACTTAAGCCCCGTTGCATAGTCCTCCTGCCCATGCCCTGGCGCCGTGTGCACCAATCCCGTGCCGGATTCCGTGGTGATGTATTCGCCGCCAATCACTACGGGACAAATCCTGCCGTCCAGCGGGTGCTGATAGGTGGATCCCTCGAGGTGGGACCCGGGGAAGGTGGCGACTGGGGTGAGGGAGCAGCGCCACGTGGCCTGCAGGGATTGGATGAGGTCGGTGGCCACGATGACGTGGCGCGTGGTGGGAGGGGCGGCAGCGGCAGCAGCATCACCAACAGAAGAGGAGAGGGAGGAGAGGAGAGAGCCAGTGTTCCGTTTTCCCTTGCCAAAGGTCGGAGCAGAAGCAGCAGCAGCGGCAGCGGCAGCAGCATCACCAGCAGCAGCGGAACCAGCACCGGCAGCAGCAGCAGCAGCAGAAGCAGCAGAATCGGCAGCATCAGCGGCAGCAGCAGGGGGGCCGATTTCAACAACGGAGTAGGAGATTCTCTCGTTGACAGCAACAGCGGCGTTGCCAGGGATGGTCCAGGGCGTGGTGGTCCAGATGGCCAGGGCGAGCGATGGGAGGAGAGGGGCGAGGGAGGGTGGTAGGGAGGAGGAGAGTGAGCGCAGCGGGAAGGTGGTGTAGATGCTTCGAGACACGTGCACGTCTGGGTACTGGTGATAGGACAGGGGGACGGGTGGGAGAGGGGGGAGAGGGGAAGTGAGGGGAAGAGAGAGCAAGCAGGGAGGAGGAGACAGAGCGCGGAGGGAAGGTGCTGTAGATGCTCTAGTGCACGAGCTTTCTCCCGCGGTAGATATGATCGTTGAGCACCATGCGCGCGAACACGCCCAGCTGAGCGGCCTCATAGGCGGGCCGCAGGGTGAGGTAGGGGTGATCCCAGTGCCAGGACTCCCTGGCCTCTCTCTTAACCGGGCCTCCCTCCTTACCTCAAGCTCAGCCTCGGCGAGGGCGGTGCGAGAAGACGGGCTCCAGTGAACGGGCTTCCTGCCGCGGTAAATGTGACCATTCAACACCATGCGGGCGAACACGCCTAGCTGAGCCGCTTCGTAGGCGGGTCGCAGGGTGAGGTAGGGATGCTCCCAGTCCGCCCACACGCCGTAGCGCCGGAAGGCTTCCCGCTGCTTGTCGACCGTTTTTAAGGCGAACTGGGCTGCTTTCTTGCGCAGCTTGATGGGGGTTAGGCCCTGCCTGGCCTTGTTGTCCATTGACTGTAGCACTGCCAGAAGGGGGAGGGAAAAGGGGGGGGGGCGGGGTGTGTTTTATACAGAGGCAAACACAAAACACGACCAGCTGAGCGGCCTCGTAGCCCGAGTGAAGGGTGAGGTAAGCGTGCTCCCAGTCCGCCCACACGCCGTACCGCCGGAAGGCTTCCCGCTGCTTGTCCACCGTCTTGAGGGCGAATTGAGCTGCTTTTTTCCGCAGCTTGATGGGGGTTAATCCTTGCCTCGCCTTGTTATCCATTGACTGGAGCACTGCCAGAGAGAGTGAGGGCATAGAGAAGGAAAAGGCTTGCCGTTCTGCTTGCTTGTCCAGTGCTTTCAAGGCAAACTGGGCTGTTTCTTTCTGCAGCTTGATGGGGGTTCAGACCCTGCCGCGCCTTGCTGTCCATTGACTGGAGCACTGGGGGGTTGGGGAAGAGGAGGTTTGGAAGGGGGGCAGGAGGGGGTGGGGGAGGAGAGTGTTGGGAGGGAGTGCGTTGAGGGGAGAGGGGGGATTAGGCAGCCCGTGGCAGTCCCACCCCAGCTTTCACTACCCCTACCAACCTCACCCACCCTCCAACCCCCCCCTTTTCCCCTGCAAGCAGTGCTGTGGGTGCGGGGAGGCATACCTTTGAGCTCGATGGGCAGCCCGTGGCAGTCCCACCCCGGCACGAATTTCACCTTGCGCCCGCGCAGCATCTGGGGGCGTGGGGAGCAGGGGAGTGGGGAATGGAGGCTGAGGAGGATGGGACGGTGGAAGGGAGCGAGTGGAGAGCAGGGAAAGCCGAGAAAGGCGCAACAGTTGGGAAAGGAAAGCTGTGCCCGCGGGAGGTGGGGGGGAGAGGTGGGGGAGAGAGGTGGGGGGGAGAGGTGGGGGAGAGAGGTGGGGGGGAGAGGAGGGGGGGGAGATAAGAGTTGCTTCTACGATTTGTCAAAAGCGTGCCTATGGGAGGGGGTAAGCGCACCTGGTAGCGGTTGATGAAGTCCTTGAGAATCTTGTTGAGCGCGTGGCCGATGTGCAGATCGCCATTGGCGTATGGCGGCCCATCGTGCAGCGTGAATGGCTCCTGATGGTGCATGGGGGGAGGGAAAAGGAAGGGGTGGAGATGGGGGGAGAGAGATGGAAAGCGAGAGATGGGTGGCCGATGTGCAGATCGCCATTGGCATAGGGCGGTCCATCATGCAACGTGAACGGCTCCTGATGGGAGGAAGAGGGGGGGATTGGAAGAGGGGAGAGAAGAGGAAAAGGGGGAGAGGGAAGAAGAGGGTTGCTTTCCTGCAGCTTCCCCGCCACGTCCCGCCACGTCCAGCTCCCCCCAGAGCTCACACAAGGAGAGGGGAGTCAGGACTCTGCAACCCAACTCACCCCCGGGTTTGTTTCCAGCAGCTTCCCCGCAACGTCCAGCTCCCCCCACAGCTTCTGAATCTCCGGTTCCCTCACACTCGCGTTGGCGCGCATGCCAAAGCTCGTCTGGGGGAGACACACCGTGCCCTTGTACTTGCCCCCCTCCTGCTCCGCGCCCCCCTCCTCCGCGCCCTTCTTCTTCCCCCGCGCCTCCACCGCCAGCCTCCGTGCGCGCCCCCCGGTAGCGCCCGCGGGGAGTGCGGAGAAGGGGACTGTAGCGGGGGATGTTGCGCCGAGGGCACATAGCCGGCTGCTGCTGCGGGGGAATCCCAGGGTTGGGGGGAGAAACGCGGAGCGCAGGCTGTGCGCGGAGGAGCGCGTGATTTTCCGCGCGGAGGGGGAGGGGGTGGCGGAGAGGGACGGGGAGAGGCGCGGGGCGGCGGAAAACGCGCTTGGCGCGCAGCAGATGCAGCGCATTCTGCCGCAGAGCGTGGAGAGCGCAGGGGAGCGCGCGGCGGACGAGAGAAGGTGAGTGCCGGATGACTGCTTGGGGGAGGGGGCGGGGGGAGAGGGGAGGCGGGAGTGTGGGAGCGGGGGGGGGAGTGGGGAGAGAAGGGGAGGGAATGGGGAGGAAGGGGATGAGGCGGGAAGAGAAACGGGTGACTGGGAGAGTGGGACCAGAGAAATGGATCCCACACGGCCGAATGAAAGAAACGAACACAGAAACCGAACCGGACGACACCGAATTGAACCGGATGACCAGGAAACACATGAATGTGAATCAGACTGTGACACAGAATGCGGTTCAGAATGCGTCTTGGAAATGCTGCTCGGAACCGAGTGCGATTCGAGAGCACAGCGGAACCTCACCATGACGTCCGCGCTCGTTTCGTTTCTCGATGCGCCAAAAGCAGCAATTGGCAGCGTCGGCACGTATCAAACGCGTTATTAGAACGAATGATCGCACCGCACCCACCCACCACCGCGCCCTAATCACCCGCGACACGCGGCGTCAAAGAGTTGAGGGTCTAGAGTCTAGACCCGTGATGTGCAATTTGGAGGGGCGGGGGAAAGGGGAGGGTGCGGGAGAAATTGGGATTGAGGGGCGACGAGTTGCTGATGTGGGTGTGTCCGCTCCACGTCAGCACGCAGTTGACGTGCGGCTCTGCCCACCAGGAATTTCTGGATGGGGAGGGGTGGGGGTGCTCGATTCGTGGTTATGTAAGCGTACGGAATATTGTCTTGAGTCATTTCTCGAAAGAACAAAATGTTGTAACGAGGTGTTTTGTACGAAGGCATAAAGTTCCATCTTCGATAAAGAAACTGCACTTTGGTCAACGTGCATTTCGACGTGTAATCGTCACTACAATAAGAATAATCGACTTGTCTGAGCCTCAAAACATGCATTCCAACCCCACTCGCCAATGCGAATTCTTTCCTTCGCTGTCCCATCTGCATTCATCTTGCCAGCATATCTTGTGCATTTATCCGTTTCCAGATGCCGTTCATGGCTGACATATGAGCTAACCGTCTCTCTCGGCGCTCATTTCGTGGCATCGTTGCGTCATCCCGTCGTTCTCCTAACGGTAATTCCTACCGCCATGGCGTCAGGGCACTCCCCTGGCCCTCAAACCCTGCATCCCCCAAACCCTAAAGCTCCAAATCCCGATGCTCCCGACGCTCCTCCGCTCGACTTTGAAGGAGTGACCGCGGCGATCGCGGCGCTAGCGGGAGCCGTGCGCGCGCTGCCGGAGGAAGACGATTTCCACTTCTACTGCAACTTCGCCGCCTTCCGCGCGCGCGTCTCCGCCCTCCGCCACCGCGTGCGCGCGCTGCTCTCCCGCCTCGGCCCGCCTGCGCCGCCGGCCGCGTTGACTTCCGCCGCAGGTGACCAGGATGACGATGACGCTGACGTGGACGACGTTTATGATTGGCTAGTCGAAGTGCTGGATAACCGGCTTGAGAAGGTTGACGTGGCACTTGACGAGATGCGGAAAAAGCGGAAGAAGGCGCAACCGGATTGGCAGGGGCTGGAGGAGGAGGAGGCGGAGCAGCGGCGGGAAGCGCTTCTGCGCGAAGCAGGGTCGTTCGGCTCTGGCCTCGCGGACGCCGCCTTTTCCGCGCCCAAGGCGGGCGGAAAGCCGCAAGCAGGCGGAAGCATGCCGGCTGCGGAGATTGCCACGTCAGCAAACAGCTGGCGACGCAGCTTGCGCGGGAACAACCGGCCGCAGGACGCGTTCGAGCCGCCTGTTGACAACTCGGACGCGCCGCTCTCATTGCCGCGCCTCGAGTTCATCGAGGCGATCCGGCGCGAGGCGGAAGCGGAAAGCCCCGGGGAGGAGAGCGCGGAAGAGGAGGGGAGCGGGGGCGGGCGGGCAGGGGGAGAGTTGGAAGAAGGGGAGGAGGTTTCGGAAGGAGATGGGGGAAACGAGGGTGCGGAGGGGGAGAAGGTGCGCGGAAGGGGGGAGGGGAGAGGCAGGGGGCCTCCGCGGCTGAAGTGGAGAGTGCTGAAGGAACGCCATCCGTTGTGGGTGAGTATCTGAATACAGGATACAGGGTTCGGGGTTCAGGGTTTCGGGTGGTTCTGGATTCCGGGTTACATGTTCTGGGTTCAAAGTTTGGGGGTTTGGATTTGGAGTTCTGGGTTCTGCGGCCTTTGTAATGTCACAACTCCCTTGCAGAACCGTTATTCTTGCCTTACATTGTCACCCTAACTCAGCTTCTCGTTGTTCGTTCTTCTCACCCTCCCTTCTCCCTCCCACCCCTTGCCCTCTCCTCTCCTTGTACTAATCCATTCCTCCGCCCCTCCAAACCCCCTCCAACCCCCCACCCACCCCTCTGTTTCTTGCATTCACCACCCATTCCCAGCACCGCCTTCGCCACATCACCTACCAGCCCTGGCAGCTCTGCCCTCCGAACCTGCCTTCCCAAACCACCACCACCGAACCAACCCGAGGCTCGGAGCCACACCACCTACTCTCCCCCCCACCTCCCTTGGAAGACACGCCCTTCGCATACATAGAAACGCGCGAGCAGCTAGCAGCGATGGCGGAGGAGATTAAGGGCGAGAGGGAAGTCGCTGTGGACCTCGAGAATCACAACTACCGTTCGTTTCAAGGCTTCCTGTGCGTGCTGCAGCTGTCCACGCGGAGGAAAGATTATGTGGTGGACGCTATATCCCTGAGAGGGGACATTGGGCCTATACTGGGGCCCATGTTTGCTGATCCTCGCATTGTGAAGGTGAGTCGCTTGAGGGTTGTTTTGCAGGGGGAAAGGGTTCTGGACTGGGGGGGGGCGGGGGGGGTGGGGAGGCATGGAAGAGAGGGAGGTGGCGGTGGATCTGGAGAATCACAACTACCGCTCCTTCCAGGGCTTCCTGTGCGTGCTGCAGCTGTCCACGCGAAGCAAGGACTACGTGGTGGACGCTATATCCCTGCGCACACACATCGGGCCCATACTGGGGCCCATGTTTGCTGGCCCTCGCATTGTTAAGGTGAGAGCTCGAGAGTCACAGCTACTGGGCCAGGTCTTGACAGGGCTTCCTGTGCGTGCTGCAGAGGGGGTAGTTCGAACCGCCGAGAGGGAGGTGGCAGCGGATCTCGAGAATCACAACTACCGCTCCTTCCAGGGCTTCCTGTGCGTGCTGCCCTTCCCCACCTTTCCCCCCGTTTCCCCCCTTCTTCTTGCCCATTCCCCCACCACTCCCTTGCGCGCTCCTACAGGTGATGCATGGAGCAGATAGCGATGTAGTATGGTTGCAGAGGGACTTTGACATTTTCATCGCGAACCTGTTCGACACGGGGCAGGCAGCGCGCGTGCTGGGGCTAGAGCGTTTCTCCCTGGCGCATCTGCTGCAGCGCCACTGCGGTGTGACGGCCAATAAGAGCCTGCAGATGGCGGACTGGCAGCGGGATAGGTTATGATGAGAAAGGGGTTTTGACTGGTGCTCATACCCCCCCCCTTCCCCACACCCCCCGTTCTTCAGGTGATGCATGGAGCAGACAGTGACGTGGTGTGGCTTCAAAGAGACTTTGGCATCTTCATCGCCAACCTCTTTGACACGGGGCAGGCAGCACGGGTTCTCGGCCTAGAGCGTTTCTCCCTGGCTTACCTGCTGCAGCGCTGCTGTGGGGTGACGGCCAACAAGAGCCTGCAGATGGCGGACTGGCGCGTGCGGCCGCTGCCTGCTGACATGCTCAAGTATGCCAGGGAAGATACACATTACCTGCTCTTCCTGCACGACTGCCTTCGGCTGGAGCTCGCTGGTGGTGCTGCTGCTGCTGCTGGTGGTGGTGGTGCTGGTGGTGGTGGTGGTGCTGCTGCTGCTCAGGCTGATGGGGGGATGGATAAAGGGAAGGTTTGCGGTGAGGAGAAGGAGGAGGATGAGGAAGGGGAGGTGCATACTGATGACGATGAGGAGGAGGAAGGTGGGGCTGAGGCAGGAGGGGAGCAGGGAGAAGGGGTCAAGCAGCAGGGGTATGGCGAGCCGTGCCCTGCTATACTAGAGGCAAGTGCTGTGCACTGCTGTCCCCGATGTTCTTTGTATTTGCTTCTCTGCCTGTTTGTTTACTTCTCGGTTTCCCTAACATGTTGGAAGCTGGTCCACTGTCTTCTCATGTCATACCTCGCCCGGTGCCCATCGTCCCTCGCCCCGCACTGCTGTCCTTCGTCCCTTGGCCTCTCACCCCCTGCAGGTGCTGGAGCGCAGTCGGAACGTGTGTCTGCTCTGCTGCTCTACTCCAAGCCCCAGCGCGCATCGCCCGCTCTTACCTGTCACTTCTTCCGTGCCTCCCTCGCCCCCTTGTCCATGCAGGTGTTGAAGCGCAGTCGTGACGTGTGTCTGCTGCTCTACTCCAAGCCCCAGCGAGCCTTCCACTCCTTCCTGCGCAACAACAGGTCAGCCAAACACTCATTGCCTTTCATGATGAAACCACAGGGTTTGCACACTTCTAAGCACAGAATCTTTCTTTCTTTTTTCGTTCCTTTATTTCTTGCCGAATATTTTTTCGCTCTCAATGGGATCCCATTGAGGCCTCATGTGGTTTATCAACTGATCTATCTCATGCACTTCTTTTCTCCTTTGCAGGCTGACCACGGAGGGCTTCAGTGAGGAGCAGATGGCTGTTCTCTCTGTAAGCCTTGCATATCTCCTTTTATGTTTATAACGATTTTTTGTTTTCTGTAATTCGCTTTTTGTTCCATGTTTGCACAGAAAGTGCTCCTGCACTCACCTTTTCTCCACCTGCCTCCCCATCCAACTCCCCCTTCCACTCGTCTTTTTCCTGCTAGACTGTGGCTTGATGGCATTGCCAACTTGCCATTCTTTCGCTTATGATTGCCATGCTTTTACATGCAACGCCATGCTGAGCATGCCAACTCATCTCATGCCTTGTTAACCATGCCCCGTCATCCCATCAGGCACTGTACACGTGGCGAGATCAGACGGGCAGGGAATACGATGAAGGGCTGGGATACGTCATGCCCAACCACCTGCTGCTCAAAGTCGGTGCGTTGGCCCACATGAAGCCCCTGTGATTGATTGTCCCGCACAACAAATCACATCCCAGTAATCGGCATGTCACTAACTAGGAGAGGCTGTTGCATAAGATGGTAGCAACTACACAGGGAGTGCGATGAAGGGCTGGGATACGTCATGCCCAACCACCTGTTGCTCAAAGTCGGTGCGTTGGCCCCCCATGATTGCACCGTGTGATTGCTTACCGCGATTCCTCTGCATGCCGCACGAAGCCCCGCATGACTCAGATCACAGGGGTGGTCATGTTACTCACTCGGAAGCTGGTCTGTTTTGCCTTCACTTCTGCTCTGTCTGAAAGTGTCTGAAATCCTCTCTCTGCGGCTGAAAGCCCTGTTGCTTTTCTTCTCTTTCCACTCTCCCTCACTCATTCCCATCCAGCACGTGACATGCCCACCTCCGAACGTGCGCTCCGAACCTGCCTCCGAGGTTCGGCACCTCTGGTGGCTCGGAACGCTGCCACCATCACCCGAATGATCAGCCAGATCAAAGATTCTGCTGACCTGGCAACTTCCACTCTAGAGTCGCCAGCTGTCGTCGCAGCGCGGCACGCTGCCACGTCAGCCAAAGACCCCTTTGCTCCTGGCACTCCTGCTGCTGCTGCTGCCGCTGCTGCTGTTGCTGCTGCTGCTGCTCGTGCCGCTGCCGCTGCTGGTGTGGCTCCTGGTGCTGCCGCTGCTGTCACTGCTGATGCAGGTGTCCAACCAACAAATGCCATGACTGCATCCGTAGCACCGGCTGTAGCAGCGGCTGTAGCAAAGGTGAAGGTGAAAAAGGCAGCAGCTAAGTCTGGGTTTGGGGCACTTCTGGGGCAAAAGCGACCAGCGAAAGCTGCAGGAGCAGCTGTAGCAAAAGCAGCCAAGCCCATGGCGAAAGCACAGAAGACGGATGGTGTTGCTGCGAAAGAAGACTTGGCGGCTCGAGTCCGGGCAGCCATGGGAATTGTGCCGCAGCCAATGGGATCGAAGGAAGTTGCTTCACGGGCAGGTGAAAATTTTGAAACTGCGGAAGATGAGGGAGGGGTGGCAGCTGAAGCAAGGGCAGAGGGAGGAGAAGGGGGGAATGGGGGGGAAGCAGAGGCGATAGAGGAGGGAGCAGGGGCCGGAGGAGGAGCAGGGGGTGGGCAGAAGAAGCGACAGCGACCTGCCAAGTCTCCGGCTCATGTGGCTGCTGCGGTGGCGGCGGCAGCAGCAGCAGCACGGGCAGCAAGGAAAGCCGAAAGCCAGGCAGAGGGCGAAGGGGGCGGAAGCGGGGCGGGGTTGAGTGGTAGAGGTGAGGCAGGGGGGGACCTGCCGGCTCCTCTGAGTGCTGCTTTTGATGCTGAGGAAGGCAGGCGGGCACAGAGGAAGAAGAGACGCATGATGAAGGCTGCTGCTGCTGCTGCTGCTGCTGCTGGTGGTGCTGGTGCTGCTGCTGGTTCTGCTGGTGGTGATGCTGCTGGTGCTGGCATTGGGGCAAGCGATGGTGGTGCTGCAGAGGGAGGGAGCGATGGTGGTGAGGGCAAGGCATCAGCACAGTCGCAGTCACAACAGCCGCTTAAGCAGGGTGCTGCTGGTGGGGGACAGCGCAAGGACCTTGTGGCAGAGGCGTTTCAGAGAGCCGCAGAGGGGGAGGAGAAGCGCAAGAAGAAGAGGAAGAGTGGGACGGGAGGAGGGTTGTGGGGCTCGGATTCAGAGGAGGAAGAGGAGGAGGAGGGGCTTCGCATGGTGCATGACAGTGAAGACGATGATTCTGAGGATGATGATGATGGTGGTGGTGGTGGTGTTTTCGGTGGCAACGATCCCGGTCGGCAGCAAAATGATGACCAGGAAGGATTCTCGCGGCTTGAGATTTATGATTTCTCAGCGGAAAAAGAGGAGTTTGGGCTGGATGCGCAGCACGTGGCAGCCAGTGAGACCCTGGCTTTGGGCCCTTCGGCAGACAAGAAGAAATGGAACAAGCGTGGGGCTCCTAAGTTCTCTGTGCCGTTGCCTGCAGCTGCTGCTGCTGCCGCTGCTGATGCTGGAAAGCAGGGTGGCGGGGGTGAGGGAGGGCGCGAGGGTAAGAGTGCTGTGTTTGATCTGTTGCGGCCGATTGCGGCTGGGGCTGCAAAAAGAGGCTTGGCTTATGATGCGCCGAGGGGTGGGAAGAGGCCGCAAGTGTTTCCTACATCTGGGAATAGGAGTGCCACGTTCATGGATTAGTGCAGGCAGGGTGGTGCTGGTGCTGCTAGTTCCACAATTGGTTTTTGATAGTGCAACTGCTTAGTTTGGGAGCAAAGTTCAATGGGTTAGAAATGTTGGGTTGGGGGTAGGAGGAGATGCTGCGTGATTCTTCGAATGCGTGATGCATAAGCTGTCTTGATCAATTGTTGGCTTTGCGGGGGTGTATTGACTTGCATCCCAGCTGTCATTGACGAGAATATTGTGATACGCGATTACCCAATCAGATGTTTCGCGCTGCGTTGACTCTGAGCTGGGCGACAGGCTGTATCGTGGTGGTGGGCAGCAATTCGGCTGCAAGCGATTTTCCAGGGCTCATAGAAAGAAGGTAACCCTATTTCTTCGTCAAGATCGCGACTCCACCATCCCCCAGAATTTGGGTTCGGTGGCAGCTGGCAATGGAGGGGGAAGCACCGCACTGCCCCTGCGCAGGGGTCACTATGCCCTCCTGGCTGTATCTGCGCTTCCTTGCACCCCGATTCCCGAAATATCCGCAAAATCTGGGGCTGTTTTCCTGATGGCCAGGCCACAGACTGCAGGCCTGGCCAGCATTTCACAGAAACGTTGGGAAAATTGCGGCTGAATATGCCTGGGCGGAAGGATGTGGTGGTTGGGGGGTTGGGGCGGAGAAGAAATGGTCGCGGGGTTCACCACGGTTACCCTGGAAAAAGAAAAGTCGGGGTTTCCAGGGGGAGATTTTACAATGCTGGCAGGTGCCACGGAGTATTGATTTTTGCGACTGTTTCCGTCTCACCTCACCAGCCCTGATTCAAGGAATCTAACAGGATCCGGGCAGCAGAGCCCATCTGATGAAAGTCGACCTGGTCTTCTCAAAACAAGTTCGCAGCGGAGCCCATCTGAAGAAGCAGGAAGAAGTCTCGGGATTGCCGTGACCAGCAGCGAACAAAAACATGGGAGATGTGCCATGGACATGAAGGGCACCTGTACAGTAATTTCTTGCCAGTTCAAGCTGACTCCTAGAAAAAAGCAGGTGGAAGGCAAAAGCTATCGCAGTAAAGCCCGTGGGAGAAGCTCCTTCTGATGCCTTTTTCGCACTTCGAAAGCGCATTTTAGGGTTCAGATGAGGGGACATGTATCCAACATTTGGATGTCTCGCAATGTGGCATTGCACGAAGAAACGTACGTCGTGTTGCGCCGCGAGTGAGTCGTAGCTAAGGAGCATCAGCGAACGCCAGCCTCTCTTCTTGCACGTTCTGGATCGATGGTTTGAAGTTCGCGATGCGTAGGACAGAGCCAGCTTCAATGTCGCCTTCGCCGTTCTCGATTCCGATCAGAACTTTACGTTTCGCCATGATGCTGGGGTTGTAGAGGCTTCCAGCGCGCCGCGTACAGCTAGGGTATTCTGTTTTGTTCCTGTGATTTCCTGGTTACCTCGTTACGGTACCTTGTTCAGGAGTCATGACCATGCTCCTCACGACACTAATCAGTCCTGTAATCCGTAGCACCCTCGGCTCGAATCAGTCCAGGCTGTAGCTGCAGCAGGAAATAAGCTCGTTGTAGTCTGTTGCCGCTTTTCCTGTACAAACAGATTCGTTATTATTTATAATGGATTCCGACGCCATGGATGTAGACATGGAAGGTAGCGGTTCCCCACGCGCAAGCACCGGAAATACGTCTTCAGGAGGCGGCGAGTCCACTCCACCAGCAGCTAGAAGCCCGTCTTCTGTGGCCGAACTCCCTCCACCGGATCCCACCCCTCTTTCACCCACCCAATCCACTCATCTTCCACCTACCCAATCTGTCCAATCAGCCCAGCCCACCCTAGCCACCCCTCCGTCCGGCATTCCAACCCATCCATCCCCCTCGATACAGCCACCGACCGAACCATCACCCCCTGAACCGTCTGCTACAGTGCCATCCGCTACAGTCACCTCAGCAAATGCACCGAGTGCGTCATTACGCTCCCCATCAATACCCTCCCCATCAGCCCCCATGTCCCGGTCCCCGGGAATGGCGTCGCCAGGAGGGTATTCCTCGGGTAATCCCTCTGGTATTAATTCCCCTAGCGTGCATTCCGGAGTTAAGCGGCTTTCCGCAGAGGATCGCCAACGGCTAGCTAATATGCTGCGCGCGCTGCAGCTGCAGCAGCAAGCGCACGCGGAAGCGCAGCCTCCCGCCTCCGCGGAAGCCAGCAGGCCGGCGGAAGGCGGAGCGGAAAGGCCCGCGGAAGCTGGCGCGGAGAGGGGAGCGGACATGGCTGTGGATGCGCCGGCGTGCGCGCAAAGGGGGGAGTGGGAGAGGCAGGGGCGCGACATGGCGGGGGTGAATGGGGAAGCAGCAGGGACGTGGGGCGATTCGCCGTCGTCGTCTTCGTCGCCTCCGCCTGGGGGCGCCATGAGGTGCGGCGAGCGGGGAGTCGAACGAGGGGGGGGGGGGGGGGAGGAGAGGAGAAAGGGGCGCCATGAGGTGCGGCAAGCGGGGAGTCGAACGAAGGGGGGGGGGGGGGGGGGAGGAGAGGAGAAAGGGGCGCCATGAGGTGCGGCAAGCGAGGGGCGAAAAGGGAGGCGAGAGGGGAAGTCTGAGGGGAGGTGTAGGGGAAGGTTTGGGGGTGGGGGGATATGAGGAGAGGCTGGAGAGAGGAGGCATTTAGGGAGGCGCACCTGAAGTGGCGGCCAGCTGTGCCATACGCTCTCCCCCCACGCCCCATCCCCCTCTTCCCATCCCCGCACAAACCAGTCGCAAGGACATATTGGAAATAGTGCGCGAGCACTTGGGCGCGCTGGTGCGACCAGCTGTGTCCGTGAGTTCATTTGTTCATCCTCCCCTCCCCCCATCCCCATGCTTGCATCATGCCAGTCGCAAGGACATATTGGAGATACTGCGAAAGCACTCAGGCGCGCTGGTGCGGCCAGCTGTGCCCATGAGCTCATATGCTCTCTTTGCCCCCCCCATCCCCACGCTTGCACCCCGCCAGTCGCAAGGACATACTGGAAATAGTGCGCAAGCATTCGGGCGCACTGGTGCGGCCGGCAGCCTCACGGGACGGGGCGGGAGCGGAGGCGGCGCAGACGGCGCTGATGATGGACCGGCAGTACTGGCGGTACTGGAGAGAGTTGACGGACCTCTTCTTTGAGCTGGGCCCTTCTATTCATATGCTCTCTCCCCTCCCTGCCCCCTCTCCCCATGGAAACACCAGCCGCAAGGATATTCTGGATATAGTGCGGAAGCATTCGGGCGCGTTGGTGCGGCCAGCTGCGCCATATGCTCTCCCTTCCCACCCCCCGTCCCCATGCATGCGTCCCACCCAGTCGCAAGGATATACTGGAAATCGTGCGCAAACACTCGGGCGCGCTGGTGCGACCGGCGGCGTCGAGGGACGGGGCGGGAGCGGAGGCGGCGCAGACGGCGCTGATGATGGACCGGCAGTACTGGCGGGAGATGGCGGACCTCTTCTTCGTGCGCGGCGTGCAGCTTCGAGGGGATGCTATCCAGGACGGTTCCTTCCGCGATGTGGTGTTCTTTGTCAGAGATGAGGTGCGTCCCTTGCGGGGTGACATTGTGGCATGGTTGTTGCCCATGGCTGCTGGTTTCCGTGGTTGCTTGCGCAGTTGCTGGCATGTCTGCTGCCAAGGGCAGGGCTACCATCCCTCCCACCCACCCATCCCTCTCACTCACCCATCCCTCCCACCCGCCCATCCCTCTCACTCACCCATCCCTCCCACCCACCCATCACTCTCACTCACCCATCCTTCTCACTCACCCATCCCTCTCACTCACCCATCCCTCCACCCATCCACCCCTTCCTCTCACTCACGCATCCCTCCCACCCACCCTCTCTCCCACATGCAGTCGCCTGCAGCAACACCCCGCCAGGCAGATGGTGTGGGAGAGGGCGCGAAGGGGGTATCAGGCAGGGGCGAGGGCGAGGAGGCAGTGGAGAGACGGCGGCCCTACTTCGCCCGGCGCAGGCAGAGCAGCGTGAGTGGGCTTTCGCTGTGATCGTGGTCGCTGGGGGCTATCCTGTCACTTTGCTTGCTACCTGCGCCGTGCTTGGCATGTGCCCTGCCTGTCTGCCCTGCCTGTTTGACTCATGTTTCTCCTCCATTCACTCCCTGCACCTCCCCGCACCACTGTGCACCCCTCCCACACCAATATGCGCTCCTGTGCACGTCGTGGCAGCTGGGGGAGATCCTGGGCGGCAGTGGGGAGAGCATAGACTGGCGGCGCACCTTCTATCTGAACCTCATCTGCCACACCGACTACTCGCTCACCATCGCCGTCTGCAGGTGGGTGAGGCAGCTCACCCACACACATTCCGCTCCTTTCTCTGTGTGGTGTGGGCTGTGTTTGGGGTGGGCTGTGTTGGGGGCGGGCTGTGTGGGTGTGAGTAGTTGCTGTCTTGTCTGACCTGCAGACAAGAGGTGCACACACACATATGCAAGCACCCTGTCTGACGCACACCCTCGTCCCCACAATTTACCTATGGCCACACCCAGTGCCCTCCACTCCCTGCCCCTTACCCTCCTTCTCTTCGTGCCCCTTACCCTCCTCCTCTCGCTGCCTCTGCCCTCCTTCTCTCCGTGCCCCTGCCTTCCTTATCTCTCCCCACGCCAGCCGCACAGCCCTGGAGAACCAGAAACGGTCGGGACGAGCCGTGCCGCCCATAATGAAGGTACTGTGTGCCGCCCATAATGAAGGTACTGTGTGCCGCCCATAATGAAGGTACTGTGTGCCGCCCATTATGAAGGTACTGTGTGCCCTCCCCCCATTCTGTTTCCCTTCATGCCACCTCTCTCATCCTTTTCCCTCCAAATCCCCACAACCCCCCTCACTTCCTCTGTCCTTGAGCTTCCTACACCCCTTTTCCCTTGCCATCCTTTCGTCCCATCACTGCATCCCCCAAATCCCCATCCCATTCACACATGTCAGCCCCTCATGTCATCCCCTCATGCCATACCCCCATTCCATCTCCTCATGCCATCCCCCCATCCCATCTCCTCATGCCATCCCCCCATCCCATCTCCTCATGCCATCCCCCCATCCCATCTCCTCATGCTATCCTTCCATGCCATCCCCCGCGCCATCCTTCCCCCTCCAGGTGACGAGGAGAGCATACGCCTCCCCCAGTAGAGCCCTTATCGACACCAGCCTCCCCCTGCCCCCGTCCACATCACAGGCAAGTGCGGCTGGCAGTAGTGGGGGGGCTTGTAGTGGGGGCAGCATGCAGGTGTGTGGCGCTGCCATTTGTGGTGGGGCTTGCTAGCCCAGTGAGCGGAAGGTACTTCTTTCCTCCATCCATGGCATTCAAAAGACAGGCACACAGCACAGCACAGCGGCCCATAAGAGCATGTTGGAACACGAGCATGTTGGAACACGAGCAATGCACGCAACACAGAGCAGCACAATGCGCTGCAGCAGCACGATGCGCTGCAGTAGCACCCCTCAATGCAGTGGCATTCACCGTCCCTCTCGACTCTCCCCGGGCCCCGGTCCCGCTTCCCCTTCCCCCCCACATGACCCAGAGGTAACGGGAAGGGGAAGGGGGACCAGGGCTCCAGCAGGAGGTGACCCGTATTCCAGCAGGACCCAGAGGTGACGGAGGCGTAATCCAACACTTGGAGCCGACGAACTCGTCGATGCAGAAGCATGAGTATTCTGCACCCTCTTTCGTGTCCCCTCCTCCCCCCCCCCCCCCCCCCCCCCCGTCCTCCGTCCCCCTCCCCAGCAGGACCCGGAGGTGACGGAGGCATACCCCAACATCTGCTTCGCCATTGACTCCTCAGACCGCGGCTTTGAGTCCGTGGTGGGTACCTTTGGGGTGACTGTACTACATGCGTTCATTGCGTGTACGATGTGTGTTGTATCTGTGTGACTCCTCTGACCGCTCATTCGAGTCCGTCGTGGTTCTGTTTGGGTCCCATCTCATGCCCCATGCGCCGTACCCCTTACCCTCCCCGTACCCCATACCTCAATCATGCCCGTGCTCTGTGCCATGCCGAATACTCTTTGCGCCTCTCAGGTGCTCAAGGGCAGCGACCACTGCTTTTGTGTGCTGCTGAGCGCGCACAGCGCTCAACGCACTGCCCCATGCCCACTGCCCCATGCCCCCTGCCCCATACACTGTGTCCCATGCATACCCCTCTCCCCACATACCCCATGCCCCATGCCCTGTCCCCCGTGTCCTCTCAGGTGCTCAAGGGCAGCGACCACTGCTTCTGTGTGCTGCTGAGCGCGCACAGGGGGGCAGCCTTCTCAGGACACCGTTGAGAAAGCGTCCTTGCATGCCCCATACCCACCTGCTGCCTCGTGCCGTCTGCATACCCCATGCCTTATCCCCTGTGACCATTGCATGCCCCTTACCCGAGATAGGTGCTCAAGGGCAGCGACCACTGCTTCTGTGTGCTGCTCAGCACGCACAGGGGGGCGGCCTTCCCCACCGTTGAGAAAGCATCCCTGCCTGACCCATACCGCATAACCCATGCCCCTCTCCCTTCTCTCCTCCCCCCTCCCCCAGGTGCTCAAGGGCAGCGACCACTGCTTCTGTGTGCTGCTGAGCGCGCACAGGGGGGCGGCCTTCCCCGCTCAAGACACCGTTGAGAAGACCCTCGCGGATGGGCAGCGCCGCGTGCTGCAGCGTGGCACCAGCAACGAGGCCAAAGTGCTGGGAGAGGCGTCAGGGGACGGGCCTAAGGTGAGGAAGAAGGGGGGGGATGGAGGGGGTTTAAAGGGGCGTGGCACCAGCAGCGAGGCTAAAGTGCTGGGGGAGGCGTCATTGGACGGGCCCAAGGTGAGAGGAGTGTGGGGAATGGGGGGTTGGTTTATAAGCCTTCCCCGCCCAGGACACCGTTGAGACGACCCTGCAACGCGGCACTAGCAACGAGGCCAAAGTGCTGGGAGAGGCTTCAGGGGACGGGCCTAAGGTGAGGAAGTCGGGAATGGGGGGGGGGAAGAGGGGGGATGGGCCTCCCGGCTCAAGACACCGTTGAGAAGACCCTCGCGGATGGGCAGCGCCGCGTGCTGCAGCGCGGCACTAGCAACGAGGCCAAAGTGCTGGGAGAGGCTTCAGGGGACGGGCCTAAGGTGAGAAAAAATATGCTGGACTGGATGGTTGGGGAGGAGTTGGGATGAGAGAGCAAGGCAGGGGAGAGCCTTGTGGGTTACCTCAAAAGATGTGCTGCGGCGTGGCACCAGCAGTGAGGCGACAGTGCAGGGGACATGTCAGGGGATGGGCCCAAGGTCGTGCACAGGGAAGGGGATGTGCGGAATGGTAATAGGTTGCTCACAGGGAAGGAAATGCGTTGCTCTCTGAATGCTGTCTGTGGCTGCCTTCACATGCTTTGAGCCATGCCACATGCCATTTCATATCCAATGCCATGCCTCATGCCACGTGTCATGCCATGGCCCATGCCCTCGCAGATCACACTGTTCTCGGGCTTTGTGAGCTACCCCATGCTCAAGACCTCCTTCCAAGGTACACTTCCAGATTTCCAGATCCAGAATTCTAAACGTCCAGTCCCCATTGCTGTTTATGTGGTTGTTGCCCTGCATCCCCATCCCATTGCTAGCACATGTGCCACGCTACCTCACAGCACCGTTTCCCACCACCCTCTACTCCCCTTCCAACCCCCTCGCTGTGCAGGTCTCTTCTCCATGTTTGGATCCACGTCCCCATCTCCAATGAAACCAGCGGGGCTAGTTCTCCGTGGCCCGGGGGGCAAAGGAGCCGCCAACCTCGCAGTCTGCCCCCTCCCCCTCCCCCCACTCCCCCCCAAGCCCCCCCTCTCCCCCCGCCCACCCCTCGCCCCCAAACCCCCTCTCTCCCCCCGCCACCCCTCTCGGACCCACACCTCTCGATCCTCCCACTCTTCTCACTCTCAGCCCTCCTCTCGTTTCCAACTCCCACCATCCCAGCAGCCTCTTTCCCCATCCGCCCGCTCCCAACACTCCCCCTCCTCCCTATCATCACCCACCCATCCCAACTCCCCCCCACCGCAACAGTCATCTCGCCTGTCTCCACCCCAGCCATCGCCCACCAGCCCATTACATTCCAACCGCACCCCACCGCCCAGTAACCCTCCAAACTCCTACCACTCACCATCAGCAAATAGCCCATCCTCATCCGGCCATCCGGCACAATCCGGCCGTCCATCTCGGCCAGTGCATCGGCGCATGCCGTCGCTGCAGGAGCTGCAGAGCAAGCTGTGGGCCATACAGGCAGAGCTCATGGACCTCCTCGAACTAGAGGCCCAATCCGCTGCCAGCGCTGTCGCTGCTGCCGCTGCTGCTGCTGCCACTGCCTTTGCTGCTGGTGGTGGTGATGGTGATGGTGCAGCCAAAGCTGCAAGTACGGAAGGAGCCGGCGCTGCTGCTGCTGGTGGTGGTGGTGGAGATGGTGAGGGGGACAGCATGATGCAGGTGGAGGAGGGCAAGCAATCAGCAGAGCAGAATTCCGCCAGCCATGATCCTGCTTCTGCTGCTGCTGCTGCTGTTGCTGCTCCTGCACCTGCTGATGATGCTGATGAGGATGATGCTGACGGCATGCAAACAGAAGGACACGAAGCCGATTCAGCAGCAATGGCAGCACCATCACCCACTCCCTCTCCACCCCTCCCCACTCCCCCCCCTCCCGCCTCCCACTCCCCGCCCTCCCCATCCCCGCCCTCTCCCTCCCCAACCACTCCCCTCCCCCCAGCACGCACCTTCCACCAGCAAATCCCCTCCTCCCTTCCCCAAGCCAAGCCAGCCAAGGAGGAAGCACGGAGGCTGCGGCTGCTGGAGCTACAGGGGGAGCTGCGGCTGGTGCAGGAGCAGCTGCAGATGCTGCAGTCCCAGAGCAAGGGCAAGCGCCCGCACCCCTCCGACCACCACCACCGGCAGCGCCCCCCTCCGTCCCGATCCATGCAGGCTTCTCGGAGCAAAGGGAGAGTCCCTGGTGCGATAGGCAGTGGCAGCAGTGGGGACGGAGGAGGGTGTGGGGAAGGAGACGAAAGGGGGCTTGAGGGGATTGAGAGCAGTGGCGGGTCGTCGAGGGTGCTGCAGCAGCCAGTAGTTGCTGCCCCTAGAAGAGCCATGGTGCACCAGGACGGAGACAGCCCCAGTGCCAGGCTCCCACACGGCCACTCTGCTTCAGGTGGATCCTCAGGAGAATCACCTGAAGGTTCACCTGGTGTCCGTGGCTCAGGTGGTAGCAGCAGAGCAGGGAGCAGCAGAGCAGGTGGCAGCAGCCGTTCCCCTGGAGCTGCTGGTGGTGGTGGTAGCAGTGCTAGTGGCCTTGCTGCGTCATTGCTGCAAGGAGGGATTGGTAGAGCAGCGGCAGGAGGGGTGGTGAGAGAGGAACCCCTGCGGTGCTGCTTGGCTTCCCTCTCCCTCCCCTGGGAGTCACTTGCCTTCGACCTCCTCTTCAAGGTATCACCTCCTTTACCCTCTCTCTTCCACTCCACTCCCTGTTCTCTGCGCTCTTTTTCTGAGCTTCGTTTCCCCGGCCATGCCACTCTCTCTTCATTTTCTCCTAGGCCTCCGTGTTTGTTACCATACTCACTGTGTGCATCTCCGATGTGTGCTCCGTGTGTGTCTCGCAGGAAATGCCTGTGAAGGTGGACATTGGTGGTCGGATATTCCCTCCCCCTCGAAATCCTCCCAGCGCAGAAGACTTTTGAGCAAACCGAAAATTCTATGGGACAATTTTCAAAAACTCATTGTGGGTTGAAATTTTCCACTGAGTGCCATATGCATTTTGTGTAACCAGGCTAGGTTAGTACAGTACATATACCGGTAGCGGTGTGGGACCATCTGTCCTGTGTATACTTAATTACTACGCTGTAGTGTGGTCAAGGAGGCAGCATGGAATGTTAGAGTTCATATGTTTATCAGCTGCGTTGAGCATATCACAATTAACCCGTTGCATGAAGTCTGACTAGAGTACTGGTGGCTAGGTTGCAGAGCACCACGCAATTTTAGCAGTTGTAGTATGAAGTACAGTATTCTGTGTGTGAAGATGAGGACTAGGAGAATAACTGGAATGTTGGGGTTCCTAGCTCGTTACGTTGCTTAATCATTCCAACAGGATGATCCTAGCAGTCAGGATATTGTAGTCGTGTCTATACACAGCCGAAAACAATCCGTCATCAATCTTACTGCAGACGATTCCAAGGTGCAACAATAGCGGAGTCCGCAAAATCTGATGGTATCGAGCGTAAGAACACCGTCCGATTAGAAAGCGCAATTAACGGTCCGATCGTAACCAGCGCTGACATATCCACTGGTGTTGCTGATGCGGCGCTGACGTTCCCAGAGTCGTCGTCAACCGACGAAACCCTCATCGTTCCCGCCACAGACTACATCAAACACCGAACGAACCCTGACGGAAGCATTTTGAAGTTGCATATTCGAGAACAGAAACCGTCAGTCGTAGTGCGACAGCGTCGTCAGGGTTTGTTCGATGGCAGGTCTAGCACAGAGTGTTGGGTCTGAGGGCAGAGTTCTTGGAGACCCTGTTGGGTCTGAGGGCAGGTCCCCTGATGAGGTCTTGCTCTACAACTCCCTGCAAGTCGGCCATGAAGTATACGAAGTGGTAGGCCTTTGCTGTCCTTAGCCTAGGAGCCTTATGGAGTTATCGTAATACGTTGACAGCTAATGTTTGTTCTTCCGTCTTTCCAGGGAGACTCGGTTTTATTGAGGTCTTGCCGTTCTGACTGTGATGTCGTCTTCATTCGTGTAAGTTTATTCTACATAGTGTTCCCTCTTCATAGTTCATTTTCACGTCACATTTGAGCGTACTTCTTACGGAACTTACTCCGTTTTTATTTATCCTGTGCAGCAAATCAGGGTCAACCCGGATGGTGGTCTCGAAGTGAAAGGACAATGGCTTTATCGGGAGCAACTTCTTCCATTCTCACAAGAGCATGGAAGGAGCTCGGTTGAAGCCAGGGCAACTACTACGGATGAACTTTTTGGAAACATCAAAAGGACATCCGTTCCGTCCGATCCACGTCGACTGTTTTATTCCTTCCACTATGAGTCCTTCGTTCCCGAGACAATAGTACGGAAGTGCAGCGTCGTTGTTATCCCGCCGTCCAAAGCTCTGCCTTCAACAAGTGAGCTTTCGGATTTTGTGGTGTCACATGTCTATGATGTTCAAGGTCACCGTCTACTGACTGTGACCGACAAGTCCCTTCCCAGGGAACATCATGACGAGCTTGCGACGGCGCTTGCGCGGTCCAAGGAGAAATGGGAGTCGTACGTGGAGCATACGCCCAGAGAGCTTCAAGAGAGCAATAAGGTCAACCTTGTGTGTTCAAGTTCAAACAAGCGCTCTGCTAAATGCTCCGAGCTGAGCTGGAACGTTCCTGGTTCCAAGCGTCGCAAGCTGTCGACTGAAGGCAAGTGTTTGGCGGTTGCCGGCGGTCTTATCAGATGCGATCAAGCTGCAAAAGAGAGTGAGGCGGACGAGAACGTTTCGGCCTTATTGGGATGTCCGGACGGAGACTGCTCATACTGTAGTGGAAGAAGCGGGTGTGAGTGGGATCAAGGAACGCCTCCGTGGACTTCGGAATCACCTTTGTGTCCAGTTGAAGCTCCTGAAGACCATTCTTCCGTCAGCGGTGGTTGCTGCAAACCTTCACTGCCAGTTCCCTCGGTGACAGATCACCTTTCGCATGTGGACACGTATTTGGAAGTTTGCGATAAAGCAGATGCTGGGTGCAGTATCACGGCAAGCACCGTTGACGTTCGTACGGGTGCAACTGGACTTGCCGAAGACCCCGAAGGCTTTCTGGAGGCAGTTGAGGTCCACGATTTCGATGAGAAGTTGGTGGAGCAGTCAACCACTCCCGTCGATGTTCAACATCTGGTAAGCTGTCATGTTCGAAGTTGAATGGCGTTTCCCGTTGTGCACGCATGTAATGTCTATTTTTACACAATACTTTTTGCTGCGCCTGTTTTTATTGCTGATCGTTGACCCCTTTTATACTGTCCAGGTGGAACTCCTTTGCCCTAACTGCGGTGTCTGCGGAACCGTTCCTAATTCCCCATCGGAAAATTCTTCTAATGAGATAGAAGAGCACAAGGTTCGTGTCTAATTTATTGCCGATTCATTTTCTCCCTTGTTAATTTCTGCTCACGTTGATGGTCTCACTCGTCGTGAGTACTAACACTTCTGGCTGCTCGTCGTTTGTTTCAGTTGGAATGTACGACATGTGGGCACTCCTGGGTTTCACTCCTCGATTCAGGGAACGCCGCGGATGCAGGCCATGACGATCTGGAGTTTCACGGCCTGGAATGTCAAGAGGAAAGTAATGCGGTCGGGAGTGAAAGCGATGCAGATGATGAAAATGACCCGCTTCTTTTCATCAAACGTCTTCCGCTGCTCACGTATGCGATTCCTGAAAACCGTCCTTGCATTTTGCCTCCGCGAAAATCAGATGCGCCTCCTGTTACGCTGGTCCTAGATCTTGATGGTAAGCATTTGTCTATCTGTTCTGGTGGGCTTCATGCTTTTCATTCTCGCTACTAATATCTGTGTTGTGTTCCTGTTACAGAGACATTAGTGCATTCGACAATGGACTTTTGCCCATTCTCCGATTTCAACTTCCCAGTCTTGCTAAACAGCCATACGCATATGGTTCATGTCCGTAAGCGCCCCCATGTGGAGACTTTTCTGCAGAAGGTAGCTGAGCTGTTCGAGGTTGTGGTCTTCACAGCCAGCCAAGGCATTTATGCAGATAAGTTGCTCGACATAATCGATCCCAAGACGGAGCTTGTTCAGCACAGGATCTTCAGAGAGTCCTGTGTCTACATTGAAGGGAACTATGTCAAGGACCTGTCTGTTCTTGGCCGAGACCTTGCTAAAGTGGTGATTGTTGACAATTCACCCCAGGTAATCTATTGTATGTCTTCCAAGTATCACTTTTGTTTTCTTTGTGTATTGTGCAGGCTTCTCACATGTTTCAGCGCATCTATGCAGGCTTTTGGATTGCAAGTGGACAATGGCATCCCTATTGAGGCATGGTTTGATGATGACAAGGACTGCGAGCTGCAGTTGCTTCTCCCATTTTTGGAGACCCTGGCGAGGGCAGATGATGTGAGGCCACACATCACTGAGAGATTCAAGCTTCAGGAGAGAATTAACAAGATCCCTAACTGACTTGGGGAGATGCGGTACTGACCTTCCTAACCCTCCAACATCTCTGATGTGTTGGGCAAGTGCACAGTACTAATATCTAATGTAGCTTATGCCTTTCCATATTGTGCTGCATGTATTAATATAATTTCTAATACCGGTATTCGTCTCTAATCAGACTTTGGCTTGAGTATCCTCCAAAATTTGAGATGTTCGTTTCACAATAACATTCAATTCAGCCACTTGTTTCCTGCACTCTTGCAAAGCAAGCTGTTTTCGCTTCAAATCTTCCTCAAGTGCCATGACTTCCTGCACAACATCAGGTCGCTGGTCTATTAGCTCAAGGCGCACGCAATGAACAAGCTCCTGCAGCCGAGAACTTACCCTGGATAGTGCTGCTTGAGGTTCAGACAAGTGCTGCGCTCGAAGCCTTGTGAAACAACGCTCAAGATTACACGCCGTCTCAAGGAATTGATGAGCTCGGTTGTCAAGATCCACTGCATGTGGGAATGACAACGTGCCGCATGAAGGGACGTGAGCTGAAATCTAGTGTTAACAAAGAAACAAAAACAAAAAAAACGGTCATTAATGTCAAAACTAATCGTTTATTCGCTGTTTCGGACGTCTTCCATGGATACGCGTTTCTCGCTGGTCTAACTACCTGAATCAGCCACATTTGCTCTGTCAGCTGCCTGGAGCTCTCCAGCAGGAAGGAGGGCTAGCAGATGCGCATCTAGAGTATCGAGCATGCGGAGCGCATGAGCTACATCCATTTTGAACGTTAGCTCGCTGAAACACACGTAGCGCAAATGACAGAGTTTCACCGTACAAGACGCTGAGAGAATTTAGGAATAGGCTAAGAGAAAATCATCACAAGCTAACAGAACAGCGATGTTGCTATGGCGTGAGAAGTTGGTGCGGGTGGACACAACCACAGCCGTACGAACCAACTTGTACGCGTTTTTAACACATCTCGCTCATCAATTTGTTGTCGAATGTAGGTAATGTAACAGACAGCTTTCCCGACTAAATCTGTAACTCATTCATCACCTCGATTCTCCTGGAACCAAGCCAGACCCACTGCCACGTTCCTTACAGCCTCCGCAAGTTGACTTCTGCTGTAAGAGTGAGCCAGCGCGTTTCACGGCTGACCACTGCTACAGCGGCTGTCCTCCTGTGCTCGTCGACTCATCTAAGGCCGACGAACGAAAGAAATGGCTTCGTTTGCGAGCACCGTCGCGCTGGCGCCGAATGCGGCTCTGTGTCGTTCAGACCTCTGCGGGGGGCGTCATGAGGCTTCACTGAAGAGCAGGCAGCTGTTAGGAACTGGCTTCTCAACGTCCGTCGCACAAGGCGAGCTCACCATGCTGCTTCTTTTTCATTTTTCAACGGTCCACGGCAATCTGTGTTACTCCACTTTGTCCCGCTTCATGATGTTTTCCTTTCAATGTGGCGTTACAGGTCTGTCGGCTGAAGGAAATGCGGTTCAGGTATCGTCGCTTTCCAGAAGAGCGGCGACTCTCAGACGGCAAGGAGCCACGAGATGCGGATATGCAGTGAAAGAGTCGCGGGGCGGAATCGCAGGCGAGGGCTTTCGTTTTGGGGTGGTAAGCTTGAAAGGTTCAGTTTAGGGACAAGTTGAGGACCAATAGAACCTCGAATACCACGCGGACGTTGATCTTATTCGCGCTATATTCTTTTGCGGAGAGGTTTTTAAAGGGTTTACGATCTCACGGGTGCAGTCTTGGTTTTCCAAGTCTCAGCTCGCCTCTCTCACCTTTTATTCTCTCCCTGTTGCTTGCTCCCACCCTCGGATCCTTCCATATCTCGCATCCCGCTTTATCAGGTGGTGTCCAAGTTCAACGACATTGTAACGAAGCCTCTACTGTCGGGGGCGATTGAGACGTTCAGGAGGCATGGCGTGGACAAGGACCACATTGAGGTGGCGTGGGTGCCGGGCAGCTTTGAAATTCCCCTCGTGGCGCAGGAGATGGCAAAGTCGGGCAACTTTGACGCTGTGCTCTGCATTGGCGCTGTGGTCAGTGATCTCAACCTCGTTTCATGTACGCTTCATACTTTGTTTCGGTTCATTCATCCATCCCTTGCACATTGCACTCATCCAATTTATCTCCACTATCCCGGCCATCCTTGCCTCAGGTGCGGGGCTCCACCACTCATTATGATGCTGTTGCGAATAACGCTGCCAGTGGCGTCCTGAGCGCAGGTCTCAACTCAGGTGAGGATGGAATGTGAAATCACATGCAGGATTGGTGGTTTTGTGATTGTATTTGTTCGCAAGTTCTGCAATGTGATGAGGTATCCAGATGCATCGCTCAACCTCCCTCCCCACCCCCTCTCTCCTCTTCCCTCTTCTTTGTCGCTCTCTCCGTCACACTCTCCGCAGGCATTCCGTGCGTCTTTGGGGTGCTCACGTGCGAGACAATGGAGCAGGTACAAGTTTCGTATCTTTGTGCTTCTTTGTTTTCCATCCACACGTGCATGTGCTCCGAGCACCCAGTCATGCAAATATCCAGTTGCAAGGTAGCGCACTCTCATGCACACCTGTTGTTGCCTGATCACACATGAGATGTGCTTATCTCATGCGTGCAATACTTTACACCTATCATCCTCAGGCGATGGACAGGGCAGGAGGCAAGCTTGGCAACAAGGGAGCAGAGGCCGCCGTCACAGCAGTACGTGTATTGGCATGCGTGCATTCATGTACACTTTCAGCATCTGAGTATGGATGAAGCACAACCATCACCGCCTTGAATCTCGTATTGTATTAGTTGCATGATCGATGTATGCAGCACCTTCCCTGACTCGATCTCAGTTTCTCTCGCGATTCCTTGTCACTGCTCGACTTGTTGACTTGCAGATTGAGATGGCTAGCTTAATGGCAATGTTGCGTGCCTCCGGCTCAGCTGCCCTTGAAGCCCCCGAGTGAAAGTGGCCACTTCCTGAATGAAGCTTCAGCAGATCCTTCCCTTCGAGTTGCTGATTGCAGTTTGCACGGTTGGCGCCAGTGGCGCTGCAGCACTAGAACGGGCAGAGAATGCAAGAGTGCTACTTGCTTGTATTTGCTCATTTTTGTGGTCCACATCAATTTTGTAGGCCCATATAGGCATCCAGATTGGAGTCGCCAGGTTCCTCGTGAGGATGGCACACTCCAGAGCATGTCTTCAGTGTTTTTCCAAACCATACACGTTAGAGCGTGTTCCTACGGGGCCCCTATCAGACCACCTCTAGTCAGACTCCGGCCATTATCTCCGATACTCAACTTTTGCCGGAGCGCGTTCTCAGGTGTAATCACCAACAGGAACCCGTTCTCGCGATATAGTGTAAAGCTATTCTGGCTCAATTTTGCATACAGTCACTCCACAACAAATTAGAACACATGCAAAAAAACAAAACCCGTAGCGAGCCTATCGGTAGATGAATTCCGGGAAGGAAAGCCGCCCAGTATTTTGGAAAATATATTGTAGCTACTTGACAAAAAATGATAAATTTTAAACACATTAAGTGTTTTTTAAAATTAATTATTTCGAAAGCGCAGCTGCCTGTAACGCAGATTTTGGCATCGTCGAAGCGCGCTAAACGCCCTTCTCCAACTACAAAACGTGGGTTGGAGCTCATTTCCCTCCACCCACGTCTCTCATTTTTCAAACGGCTCTTGCAACTCTCAACCTTCCAAGCTCATTTTCCATTTTCCGTTCAAGCTGGCGAGAACTCCCTCCCTTCCCAGAGGCATTTCTCCTTCTACTTTACTAGCGGACATTCTCAACCACAATCGTTCGACAATGGCTTCTACGCCGACACTTAACCGCGCGAACAACACCGTCGTCAACGACTCGATTAATTCTGACATCGACCATAACGCCCGTGAAACGTCGGGCGAACGCCGCAACAAGCGCCGGGCAGACGGCGAAACGTCCGCCCCTACCGCCGTGGACGTACTGCTGGGCGGGCTCGAAGTCAACAAAAACGCCGAGCAGCACCCCCAGCACCCTTCGGCACCTGTGGCGCCAGTGGCGCCAGTCGCGCCTGTGGGGCCTGTGGCGCCAGTGGCGAACGTGGCGACACACGCCACTGACGCAGACCACGCGCCGGCTGCACACGCGGCCCACAAGCCGTCGCGTCAGCGCCAGAGGCGCCGCACGGGTGCCTCGTCTGACGCGACGGCTGACCCTGGCTTGACCGAGGCATTGACCGCGGACCAAGTCAAGGCGCTGCTGTCCTTGTTACAGCAGCAACCCGCCAGCGCAATTGCAGCCGAAACTACACAGCCGGCGGCGTCTGCATCTGCTAAAAAAGAAAATACGAAGAAGGAGAAAGGCGCGAAAGAAACATCAACACGTCGCCACGACAAGGAGGCGATCACCAGCGCTCCCGAAGCTGCAGCAGCCGACAACGACTCCGACGAATCAGATGACGACGCTGGTGAGGCTCCCGATCAACGCAGCACAATTTACCTCTATGGAACATCTCCCCCCCCTCCCTTCCACTAACCCCACGTTTTCGGCAGCTAACTTCTTCGACCCACTCGTGCGAGCGAAAGCGGAACCCCTGGAGGACCTGCGAGCTTACCTGAAGCATGCGGAGTACAAGTTGCAGCACGGCGACACGGCGGGCGGCCTCGAGATGGTCGTGAACGGCCTCAACTACATTTCGGAACGCTACGAGATGCTCCAAGTCGAGGACGCCACCGATGACCGCGTGGCGAAACGTTTCAAGATGTACCAGCAGAAAAGTCTGCTCACCTCTCGCCCGTTCAAGCAAGCTATCGCGGATGTGGCGGCGATGGATCGTGCGGAGAATGCACGAGCCCACCGCAACGGAGGTCGCGGGCCCGCGCCATTCACTACAAAGCGGGGGCCGACCTCGGGTGCCTTTCATGGCTTCCGGGGGTCGTGTTTCCGTTGCGGCCAGCCGGGCCACGTGGCAAGTGGCTGCCCGCGGAACGGGAATGGTGGCCAAGGACCCGCACCCGTGGTGTAAGGTCGGGCCTTGAGCATTTGCGCAATAGTGCGCGTGGCACGGTGCACGTCACGTGCGTTGACCGTGGGCAGCCCGTAGGGGTTTGCGGGATAAATTGGCCGGCCCTAGTTAGGGGAGATGATAGGCTATAGGCCTAGGATGAGGGAAAGGGTATGACATGCCCTTCGGTCCCATGTGTGCGCCCAACGAGGCGAGAGTAAATGCATGCTAGGATGCATGGCAATGTATGGCCCGTTTCTTATAAGGGCACTTTGATAATAAGGGTACCTTCTTGTTCCATGGACCAACAAAAAAAAAATAAAAAAAAAAAATCAGAGAGGTGGAGATAATGTGAGCCAACACATGGCTTCACACAAACGGCCCCACCCCTCATGGGTACGGGCAACCCTCGGCTGGCCATAGCCCAAGAGCATGTCCCGAAGACAAAGGAAAGCAAGCGCCAAAGCAAGAAAGGGGAAAGGGGGAGGAAGAGAGAGAGAGATAGCCGGACGTACACAAGAGGGAAAGAGAGGATGCAAAGGCAAAAGGAGGGATCGCGAGGCCATGAGGAAGAAAGGGCAATCGCAAGACAAGGCGAGAAGACTCTCTCCGATGCCCCAAGGCCTTACAAAAAAAAAAAAAAAAGCACACACACACACACACACACATACACACACACAAACACACACACACACGCACACGCGCGCGCGCGCACATGCATACATCATATAAAGGTATCGCACTAAACGACCATGGGCGACTATGGTGCTACGGGCTAGTTGAATGCGTTCTCGAGCACACTCCGTTGCAAGTGCTGACTCCTCAGGCATGGATGCCTTGGATTACATGCTTAAGGTCCTTGCTTGTGTTCCCTCCTCCATTCGCATGCCGCGAATATGCAGAAGCAATGCAACGCGAGGCGACGGACAATGACGACCCGTACGAATTTGCCGTCACAGACAAGTCCGTCACGCAAATGCGCGGGCGGCTTCGAGCAACTTTTGCATGGTGGAGCTCGTGGTGCCCAAGTAGCCTCATCCTATCGGTCATTGCCAACGGCTACTGGCTCCCATGGAGCCATAACCCGCCACGGCCCTTTAGAGAGCGCAACCACCTTGGGGCATACACGCACGCGGCGTTCACACGCACGGCCATCCGCGAACTTACCGAGACCGGTGCGGCAGTAGCCACCCCTGCATCGGAGCTCACATGCATAAGTCCTCTCAATGTGGTCGAGCAACGAGACAAATGCAGGCTCATTCTCGACCTGAGGAAAGTGAACGCACACCTACTCGTTCCCAAATTCAAGTACGAAGGCCTAAGTCGCGTTGCAGACCTCGCACGCGCAGGCGATTGGATGTTCTCCATCGACCTCAAATCCGGCTATCATCACGTCGACATCCACCACTCTTGTTGGACATTCCTTGGCTTTGAATTCGAAGGACGTACATACTCCTTTCGCTCATTGCCTTTCGGCCTCGCGACAGCACCATTTGTTTTCACACAGCTGATAAAACAACTAGCCAGGCGCTGGCGCGAACAAGGTGTTCGAGTAATACCTTACGTGGACGACATCTTGTTTTTATGCACGTCCAAGGCACATGCACAGGCAACATGCCAGATGACAATCTCCGACCTCAAAATGGCGGGCTTGGTAATCAACGCGAAAAAATCGCAGCTGTCACCATCACAACACCTACGATTCTTAGGCGTCGAGTTGGACACTGACTCCGGAAAATTCTCCATTGGCGCCGATCGGCGAGCATCGCTCCACACACACCTTCAGAACCTGCTGAGCGCAAGCAAAGCACGCCGACATGTTCCAGTCCAGCACCTGGCCCGAATCACTGGCACACTTGCGTCAATGGCGGTCGCGCTAGGCGCCACGACTCGTGCATTTAGCCACGCTATGCTACAAGCGATCAACGAAGCGCCATCCTGGGGAAGCAGCGTAAGCATAACTCCATCGGTTGCAGAGGAGCTACAGTTCTGGCTCGAGGAGTTTGACAAATTCAATGGCGCACCATTCCACGTCCGGAATAGTCACGATGCAGTGATTCACGTGGACGCCAGTTCCCACAGTTGGGGCGCTACTCTGCTCACCTTCCCTGGCGAAATTGAAGAGGCCAGCGCAACCATGCCAGAATCATTGCAAGCAACGTCCAGCACTCGGCGGGAGATTGAGGGCGTCCTTTGGGCCCTTCGGACGTACGCGAACAAAGTCCAGCAGAAACACGTGCTTGTGAGGGTGGACAACCAAGGGGGCCTTCTTCATCCTTCGCAAAGGCGGCTCGCGCACCCCCGACCTGACCACTGCTTGCAAGGACATCATCCGCATCTGCATGGAGCTCGGCACTCGTCTAATCATTGAATGGATTCCGCGCGAGCTCAACTCCCACGCGGACGAGTTGTCAAAAATGATAGACCATGACGACTACTCCTTGAAGCTACCGTGGTTCCGCATCCTTGATCGTCGTTGGGGACCCCACTCCATCGACCTTTTTGCAAGCTCACGCAACTCGCATCTGCCACGATTCTGCGCAAAAATTCCCCACCCAGAGGCCACTGCGATCGATGCATTCTCGTTTTCATGGACAGCCGAGAATGGCTTCACGTTCCCACCACCCCAGTTGATCCCAGCAGTCATCCGTCATGCACAACGCAATCGCGCATCACTCACCCTCATTGTCCCCCACTGGACGGGGGCAAACTGGTGGCCACTCTTACAACCCTCACCACCCAACTGGGCCTCGCACATCAACGCGCACATTCCCCTACCGCATGGAAGCCAATGCCTAGCACCAGGAACGCACCGCACTGCTTTCTCCGGCACTGGACTGCCTCACAGCACAATAATGGCACTACGGGTGGTCTTCAACTAACCTACCCCGTACTCTTTCGCGCAGACCTGTTGTCGAAGCTGCAAGTTCACCTTCTAAAGATGCTCACACAGTCTCGCGCCGACTCAAC